TTCCACCACATTGACACAATTAATGGACTTCTCAAGTAGTTTGTTTCCCCACACTTCGACATAAATAATATGTATGAGGAAGATAAATTACTCAACTTCATTTCTGGTCATCAAGTTTGGGCATAGAGAAAGTTGTGGCACCATGGTGTTGGGGATATACTACCAATACTAACAATAGTCAACGAATGACTAACTCTGTACACAATGAGACTAGTGACAAATAATGGGATGATAATAAGTAGAGTCAATAGAGTGGTGATAACCACCACACTGAAGGTACCCCAAAAAGGCCATGGTGGGCTTAAGACAAAGGAAGCCTTAGTGGAGTCTGAATTAAGATTTTTGTAAGTTTTAACTATTTTTCAGATTCATCATGAATTCTTATTTATACCTACATGTGTCAACACCAACTAAATGGATGTATCAACACGTATTGCAACATGACCTCTCAACACTCTCTCATTAAGAACACATGTTTTTTGAATGTGTCTTAGTTCCTCTTATGAGTTTCAACCATAGGGAAAACTATTATCTGATATTAACTATTTCTGTTTGGAATACATATTGATTTTGATGGGATTAGCAACTCAAATCACATAAGTTTATCTTTGTGGAGACCCAACCCCTTCCTAGTCAAATATGACTAACACGACTTCACACCTTCGCCAAATACATTCTCTCCTCACCACCTAGTTAGCTTAGGACTTAGTGAAGATTACTGATTGCAAAAGAAGAGTTGATCAATTTTCAGATTGATATGATGAAGAGTATGAAGCTTTTTGTTCATTTTTTACACATATTGTGTTAGGAACATGATGATTATTGTCAACTTTGTGTGTTTATTGATCACTCAGTCTATATCTCTTTTTCAATAAATAACCTTCATTGTGTGTTAATTTTTCCAATTTATTTAATTTCTAATGTTCAATATACTCATTCAAAAACTTCTAGTTTTCAAAAACTACATTTGGAGCTTCCAATCTTGAAATCTTCATAATTTTTACAAGGATATTAATTCAAATTTGACCTAGAACTTATTAACTTAATAGAGAATGGTTGGGTACCTACATTGACTCTAGATTATCAAATTTTTACTTTTCTTTTGTCCATGTAAATATGTGGCGTATGACAATCAAGATATTATTTTCACACTTGAATTTTGATACATCCTTTATTTTTGGGCTAATTGAATCCATATGATAGTTTCAAGAATATGTCTAGTATCATAAAAAACTGATAAAAGTGGAACTCTATAGCTAGATCATCATATATAATTTAGATGAAAATATTTTACTTTCATTAAATGCATTGACATGTGTGTTGGCTTCTACTATATGATTATAATTTTAACTTTTCATTTTTAGATACTCTTCGATTGATAATCTATTATTTTCAAATATTCCTAAGATAATATTTTTTCAATTGATAACTCTATAGTTAGATCATTATATATATAATACAACATGAAAACATTTTATTTCCACTAAACGTGTTCACAGATGTGTAAGGTCATACTTGATGACCATATATTTAACCTTTTGTTTCTAAATATTTCTTTTATTGATAATCACTTATTTTAAAATATTCATAAGATAAAAACTCATTTAATCTCAATGATTTAATCTTACATTTTAGTCATTACTAATCAAACCATAATCATTTAATAAAAATATATATAATAAATTTATGGAATTTATTGAGTATTTAAATACATATGAATGATACATATAAATAAGAATCAATACTAAATAATAATTTATCAATAAATTTTTATTTATAATCATCAAAATCAAAGACTTGTGTTGGGTGCATGTTTATCCATATAACATGGTGTTCCTAGGACAAGATGATACATGCATATCTGCAGGAGCTACACATATTTTTTCACAAACTACTGTAGATTGGACTCATTTGTCAACCTAATTATCCTTATAGTGCCTCATCCTATTTTAGTAGAAAGGATTGATCACTTTGATTATGCATTTAACTATTGGGCACTCAACAAAATAACTTTGAGGAATAAGTGTTGATTTGATGCCCAATTGAAATGAGTTGTTCAATTGTTTGAGGGGAGCTTGTTATTTTTTTGAGATAGATTTGAAGGGTTGAGATTTTCAAGTGAGTTTCTAATTGGGTAATGAGTAGAGGATACAATAAGCAACTGAATGCAACTTGTAGTAGTTCACAATGATCCATTGTAGACTCATGTCTCACAAGTGCTTCAATGATATTCTGCACCCTAATAAATATTATTTTATAATAACATATTGACTTCTTTGTGGTAGTATACTTAGATGACATTTTCATTTATAATCTAACTTTGGATTAATATATTGAATACTTGTAGGAGGTGCTTATAAAATAAATATTTTTCCATCCCTTTTTTGTAGGAAGTCACTCTTTTTTGGACAAGTCATTTGTAGGGGTGTTGTGAAAATAGTCCATACTGAAGTTCATATCAGCAAAAGTGGCTGAAATGTGGTTGAGTTTAGGAGATAAGGTCATTTATTAGCTTTATCAATTGCTATAAGAAAACTGTACAAGGTTATAGACCTTTTAATAAAAGGGCTTGAATTGACATAAAATAGATAAGTGCTAGTGCTCTTTTGATAGCTTGAAGTGTGATCTTACTTGTAAGCCAATGCTAAAACTATTAATAGATGTGGGGGGGGGTTGATGAAGGAAAGAATTTAGTAATGCACAAGAGCCAAAAGTTGAACAAGATAGAGAAGAGATATTCTATCTAGGAGAAAGAGATGATGAAATTTTTTCACTATCTTTAGGGTGTGACAACATCATTTTATTACCAATAAATTCATTATCTTTATATATAATGTGACAATCAACTACTTCAAGTTACATAAAAAATCTCTCATCCAAACATATGAGATGGTAGGAATTCTTAACAAGATGGAGAATATGTTAGATATCTTGAGTGAAGACACATTTTGGCTCTATTCCAAAAACTTTCATTTATTTGAGATGCACAAAAATGTTGAGGTCCAAAATTTTTTTTACTTGATCTACCAACACAATAAAATGAGACATTTAGTGAAGGAAAGACATTTTCTGCATCTTTGTGATCACAACTTGCCTATAGGTACGCTACATCATGTGATGTCTCCAAGTCTTATGTATTGTGTTTTGACAATGTCATTTTATATTATGGTATGGTTTGGTCAGCTAGCCTACAAATTGAATCTCTCCTAAACATTGGTTATCAATCTAGTGTTCCAAATCTCACTTTTAAAAGTATAGAAGGTAGACAAAAAGAATGTGGAGTGTAATGATACTCAATGATTATCCTCAATAATGTGACCACTTTTTCTAACAATGGTAGATGCAATTTTGGGGATTAAAGAGGAGAATTGTGGGGGAAAATATGACAAAAATTACTCATGTACTTTGTTATCAAATAGTGAACACATTCAAAGGAGGCTACAATGTTGCAATGCGACATCATCCTTTGACAATTTTGAATGTCTTGTCAACCCATACTTGGAGAACATACTTTGATGAGAACTTTGTATCATATAGGTAAATAAGGTGTGATAACCCAACACCAATAACATAAGCAGTGCATGAGGCATTCATGATTGTGTGTGATGCCCACACCACTAATATACTACATGACAACTTGACTCATCAGATAGAAAACAAGGATATGAGACTTGCTACTATCAAATAGGCCTGCATGAACATCAAAATGTTTAGAAGGGGCCACTAGTTACAAGCATTACAAGCCAACAACCATTGGAGTGGAGTAGGACATCAAAGCAGGCACCAATAGTCCTTCTAGGATAGCAGCATTGTCTGGACAAGGCATTGCATGATGGCACTTTGGGGGCCAATGCACTTCTATGTAAGGGACCAATCTCAACAGATGTGGGGTAGGTCATTCTTTCTTGTCTTATGCATCTTTTTTTGTGAAGAATGTTTATCCTTTTTATGTGATCCTTGTTGAGATAAGCAGGTTGCTCAAGTGATAACTGCAGAGTGCTCAAGTGACACCCAATTCCAAGAAATACCCATCATTTTTCTGATCATAATTCTCACATTTTTTATATTTATAAATATTAAAAATGCTTCTTATTTATGACATCAATAATTGTGGGCGTATATCTGCCTTGATAACTATGTTTAGTAAATTTGTAGAGTTCAGACTATTAATGCTCATTATTGTCGACTTGTAGCGTCAACTATTCTTGATGCGGTCACCGTGTGGTGGGCGGAGCCCCGACGTGTGAAGCGGTGGGGAACGCGGTCACCGGCGTGTCGTGGCGGAGGGCCGCCGTGTGTCTGGGCTGCAGTTTAAAAGATATATATTTTATTCACGCATTTATTTTCTGTCTCTAATTTTTTCTGTCAGGTGAATAAGAAAATAACTCTGGTCCGACCAGTGCCTATCATCAGCAGGGAACCTCACTGTGATCGTCTTCTGGCTTCATGGCATCTGGCTCTCTGTTGTTGACGACCAGATACTCGCGGGTCTGCTCCGTCCGTCCCTCTCCGCTGCGCTCGGCGGCGCCGCTGGTGGGCAGTGGCCTTTCGAAGGTTGATTCTTGTCCATACGCTTCCTCTGCTGCGGGAACGGTCCCCGATTCGTTGGAGATTTCCGCCGAGGCTTCCATTGTTGTCTTCTTCCCTCCTCCGGGTCTTCTTCTCCTCGAGTCATGCAATCCTCGTGCGTAGCGGAATCTTGATTGCTTAGAGCGAACGATGCGATCGGACGATCGTCCTCTCCATGTTCTGGCCCGTCCGGTTTTTGGTTTTTACTAGATTATGTAGGGGGACGATTGGGTTTGAACGTTTGAAATTTTCGCGTTGCAGTGTTTACCACTTGTCTAGTTCACTCGGAATTACTCGATTTTAGCGTTTCCTGTCTGATACAAACTATGGTGTAGAGATCATTTGCCTGGCCTTCAAGAAGGGTTTCTATCTCTGCTCCTTCAAACTTCCCAACTGTTCGCTGTGCTTCAAAATCTTCCTCAATTGAGAAGATGGCACCCCCCATTGTGCGGAAGTTAGCTCACGATGAACCAGTGGTTTCTGTTCATTGGTTAAGTGCCAATATTGGGGAGCCTGATCTCAAGGTGCGTCCCCTCGATTGAAATGAAAAAAAAATAGCTTTTGATTGAAGACTCACTTATGTCTTGCTGAACTATGTGATAGTTTTTCTATGCTCATTAGCTTTTCGGTTTCTGTGTGATACTTGAATAAGTATTTCTATCCTCATTAGCTCATTACTTCTGTGGAATTACACTCTTACATGATTTGTATGCTTTATTCACATCAGCAACGAATCATATCAATCACTCATCATCACTATCATCTTCAAGAAATATCCAATAAAAAATTCCCGAATATTGTTTTAACAAAATAAAGGTTCCAGCCATCACATAAATTCATATCAGTTCATTTCTACAAGATCATTTAAGGAATTGCCGAAACAATGGCTTTTGGACGCCTCATAATGTGTAAAATGCTAATCTTTCTTTGGTTATTGCATAAATGGTGGTGATGTATCATCTCGTACATCCTGTAACATCTGAAGGCAATCTTTATCCTAAACATCACGTGCAATATTTTTAAAATTCCCCTAAAATCATAGGATATTGGAGGTTCAACAGCTGTTGACTTCTTTTTAATCAACTACTCTAGTGTTGTTGAAACTCACCAAGTTATTGTGTTCATTCGGCACTTCTGACAATTGGGTGACATTAAAAGTTTAAAATTCCAACTCCTCTTATCATCTATTATCATATCAATATTTTTCCCCCTTTTCCTCAGGTATTGGATGCCTCATGGTACATGCCACATGAGGAACGAAATCCTCTCCAAGAATTTCGGGTACGTCTTTTATCAGGTTTTTATATAATTTTTTAATTTTTGCGACATCCTGTTGGTGTTTTAGTTCAGTAGTTCATTGGGAAAGTGATACGAGTTTTGGGATGTCGAGATAAGTTAAGAAGCATATCAGTTTGTACAATGGACGGTTTTTGAAGAAGCATTAGGGTTTTACTGGTTTATAAAATAATCAGCCATTCTAAATCATAAATATGTTCAGGAAGCAGTATACAAAAATATTACAATGAACAAAGCTGTCGTGAACAGAGCATCTAATTTATGAATTCGTATATTACCAGTGTAAGCCGGAGAAAGATAGCTTCTATTCAGTTGTGAAGTGAATAAAGTTGACAATAACGATAGTGCTAGCATGACTTTGAGTTTTTAACCTTTTTTTAAAAGGCAAGGATCGAATAACAGGCTATGCATAAAATATAACAAGTAACCAAAGGAAACTTGAATCAATATGATAAGAGAGCTAGGAACCGTATAATTCAAGGATAAAAATAGCAAACTTATAATGTAGATCTCGAAGAACATAGAAGAATCTTATCTTCTTCTTTCCTCCGGTGGAGCAATGAATTCCTTGGATAGTTCTGAGATGGTTTTACGACTTTTGTAAAAGAGTATTTATAATAGTGGAAGACTGTTGTCGTCTGTTGGACTGGAGTTGTATCTGGCTCCTGCCAATGTGACTAGATAAAAGTAAGGGCTCCAATGGGGATTGTGAATCAATAGACAAGTGCTTTAGTGTATTAACGATTCTTAAAGAGCCATTTCAGAAGTTGGGAAAAGATTAGAGGAGTTTCATCTGGAATTGGAGAGATTCATGCAAAACAAATATTCTCATCGAATATTTGTGCAGAGTATCAGGCTTCAAAGGTTCCTTGGACTGGCCTTGTATTCATTCAAGAAGAGTTACCGAAAGAATTGAAAATCATCTGCCTGAGACTTAAGATATAGTGCTGGTACAGTTATGAGGAATATTTTTATGGTTTTATTCTCTATATATTGAAGAACTGTGGTATTGAGATGAAAATAGGACAAACTTTGACGTTTCATACCATGTACTTTATACTGAGAAGGGAATGACTACTCCACATATGCTGTTTCAAAACTCGCTCTTTGCTTTATACTGATATCTCGTGTACCGAAGAGAAAAGTTATTGAATGACTTGGTCAGATTATCACTGGTTCACTTTATATGTTAGCTTGATTGTTTGCCTTGAATCCATGATTCCAGGATGGCTAGTGGTTGCCTGCTTTTGATTCATTCTCTTTTTATTTTCCAGGTGTCTCACATTCCTGGCGCCTTCTTCTTTGATATAGATGCAATATCAGACAAGAATACTAATGTGAGTGGAACTTTTTTTGTCTGTTTTTATTTCTCTTTCCCTTGTCATCTTAATTGGCTGTGATTATCAGATTTTTATGTTTACAACTTTATTATTACTGACTCTTCCCCGTTTTTAACTGTTTGCCATTATTGCATATTTTATGTTTCTACCTATAGTGTTCTCCTTCATTTTATGTTAGGATAAAATAAAACAACATAAAAAATCTAAAATGGACGATCAAGCATAACCAGAAAATGAAAGGTAGGAGCAGAAATAAAAAACAACGAAATCTAAACCAATACCTTTATTTTTTTGCAGTACAGTGTTAAGATAGTGAAACAAAGCAAAAGATAAAATGTCATTTCTTCGTTGATCCCATCAAATAGACTGGGATCAAGACCATCATCATCTCAATTCCTTGGACCAGTTAGTCAATAGTGTAAATGCCTTAAATTATGTCTTCACTTTGTGTTTCATGATCTTCCAAATTGGATTATGATCAGGATGGGATTAATCCTCAAATTAACTGACCTAAACTGGCCATTCTCTTGAAAAATCCCTGTCTAGTTTCTAGTAGGTAGGCTATTTTATCAAATTTAAAACCCTGTGGTTCTTGCCCATTTTAAGGGAATATTGCAGGCTCAACAATTGGAAGTAGCTTACAGCAATCAGTGATGTGGGCGATAATGGCATCCAATGGTAGGGAAGTTCTCCCCCCCCCTCCCCTCCCTTTCCCCCTCCCTCTCTTTCTTCCTCTCTGTATCTCTCTCTCCTGTGATTCTTCCTCTAACATTGCAGAACCTGTGGAGAATTGAAAATGTGCCTTAAATCCCTAAGGGAGATGGAAATAAATTTTTATTGTCATAAAAAAAATTCTTTTGTGGTCTCTTTAATTAAGCACAGTAGTTATAGATTCCCCAGCGAAGAGGATCTGAAAGGAACACTTCCTAATTAATAAAATTTTCTCGATAAAACGAAAGAATTATGAAACCTACATAAAGAAAATGTATTTTGGAGCTCATGAGCCTCCTAAACGACTCTACTTCGATTGTCCACTTTTTACTCATTAGGGCTTTCTGTCTACATTCATCTACATGAGGAAGAACAAGAGACGTTAATTGACCGTTTTATCAATAATATGCATGCTGAAATAAGATCAGCAGATGCTTTGTTGATTATTTCTTGTTGTTGTTGTTCTTTACTCTTCTTTTAAATTTCAAAGATTAATATGGTACTCCCAAAAATTTGGTCAGATGTTGCTTAGTATATCTTAGTTTGCCAATCTACCAAAAAGTGGCCAATTTTTCCCTATATACTTGGTTCCATTTTCTTTTAAGTTTTTTCGTGCTTCTAGATGATCATAGAAAAGAAGCATCTTTCATTCTCTAACATTCTTGTTTCTGAGTTCTTTTTCAAATTATAGGGATGCAAGGGTTAATGGTTGTCACATTACTTCTGTGCTGGTTTGATCGGGCCCTTTTGTAGACCACCCAGGATTTAGCGTTATCTTTAATGATCCATGTGCTTTTCTCCTGTCTTGCATCTCACTGATTTATGCCTATTTTCAAATACTTTAATTTAATTTTTTATGTTCATTTCTCTCGTACCAAATTGATTGATTTTGTCTTTCAATCAAAAATTGACAGAGAGCGGAAATTTAGTAAAATATCTCCGATTATGTTAATCTTGCTTTTATTTTCATTGCTTTTGGTGAATGTGGCATAAAGTATCTATGAATAATATGAATCAGTTGCCACACATGCTGCCATCAGAGGAAGCTTTTGCTGCTGCTGTTTCTGCTCTTGGAATTGGCAATAATGACAGGGTGGTTGTTTATGATGGAAAAGGGATTTTCAGTGCAGCTCGAGTTTGGTGGTGAGCTCCTTGGTTATGTCAAATTTGATCATGCTTTCCTTATATAAATATTGAAAGCTGGATTCCACTAGTGAAGTCGCTTTCTAGAAACGGCTCAGCAAAATAATATCTCTGTCGTGTGACATACATGGATATTTTTTATTTTAATGTTATATTTTTTTTTGTACATCCAAATGTAGTGGTGAAAGCTTGATTTATTTTCCCTTGAAACAGAATGGGGACAGTTGAGAGTGATGAGTGCAGCGTTTTCAGTCCATGTGCTGCTTACATGAATTGATCAATGGAGTTCAAACCGAGCTCCTTAGCAGTGAATCTGGTGCAGAAGTAAGAGAAAACCTAAAGCAGGGGATTAATACATTCTCGTTATTTATTCAATTGAAAGGATTTTTTTTAATAGTTTTATACGGAAATCATTTTTCATATTATGCAATGCAACTCTGGGTTGTTTAATGGCTTCCAATGAAATGATAGGCTGTGAGTTTTGAAAATGATTCAACCACCAGGTACATTGGTGATGCCACAGGCAGGTTGGCCTACTCAATGGGAAGTGTGCGAATTTCTTGAATACAGATCTTATGAGCTAGGGTTTCATAGTTTCACTCATGCGACTGGTCAAGGACTAAATCTTCAAGCAGATACCAGACTGCAACATGACTCTTTATTTTGAATGTGAACTCGTCCGATTTGAATTTAACTCAAAACAGATTTGTACTTGAGCAGTATCAGTACCATAACCCTTAAAAACTGATGCAGATTTGTTCGGTGTCTCTCAAGTTTTATCCTTTTATCTTTATTTATGATTCTTATGTCTTTCGCAATAACGAGAAAGTCATGTAGGCCTAGTGAAGATCTTTCATATGTTGTTGCTAAGAAAAAAATCATAACACTTTATTCATTCCCATCTAAGTGTTTTTCTAAAACACTCTACTGGCCTTACATTCTAAGCACAGTAGTTAGTCGCCTTTTCTCCAGTAGACTACAATAACTGTACCTAAAAGAGTGTCTATTCTGCTCCAGATTGAGCCATCCCTGCAATCGTGTGTACTGAAAAATATTAAAACACTCTCACAAAATCGTTTATTATTTCTTGTGATTTATAAAGGATTTCTTAGTTTCTTCAACTATTAATGAGTTCCTCTTTTAGATTATTTATTTATTTATTAGTACTCAGTACATTAATGGTATCTTTGCAATTCTAAATCAATCTGCCAATATTCTGGAAATCTTTTCTATCCATATTATTGTGTTCATATCTAAATAATGCCGGCCAAAAAAAAGGGTGAGTTACTTCCGTTTGATTTCAAATAGACGCCTCAATTTGATTGAACCCGAAAGTTTTTACTTTCTAATTCATGTAAAAATTCCTCCAAGCAGTAAATCGTCAATCTATCTTCTTGATTTGGTTGAGTTTTACGCTTTTTGCTGATTGAATTTCGGGGGCTGTGCGAGTTCGAGTCAATGCCTTTGTTTTCTGCTGACACCCGCCCTCCTCCCACTCCACTCTCCCCTCTTCGGTGATGCTGTACTTGAATTGGCTAGAGTTCTCGCTGACATGCACAAAACTTGTGTCATATTCTCTGATCCGTGTGGTCATCATCCGCCTTAAGCGGACTGATCAATTATGCTGTCAGACTAGTCTCAGGCCGGCCAAAAGAGGGAGTTCCACTAACCAATAACCATGCTTTTACATTGTCTAGTGCCCTTTATATCTTCTTCAAATCTTCTCCCCCCTGTGCTTTAAAGTTTGCCTCTCGTTGCTCTATGCACTCCTCTTTTAGGATATGAACGAGTAATATTTCAGATTTGGCCCACAAAATTTCCATGGTGAAGTTTATGAAGGATGGATGGCTTTATGCTTGCAAAGATCGATCATCTATTTTACTAGTTATGTGATGACCAAAACTCCTCGTTATGGTCAGGATGTTCCGAGCATTTGGTCACAGTAATGTTTGGGTCCTGGATGGGGGCCTGCCCCTCTGGCGTGCTTCTGGATATGATGTTGAATCCAGCACCTCAGATGACGCCATTCTGAAAAGCAATGCTGCATCTGACGCAGTAGAAAAAGTTTACCAAGGCTTATCGGTATGTTTCCATTAAAAAAAAATCTCTATATATTTTTTATTATTTTTTTATTTTTATTTTTATCGATGTTTCCGATTTATGGTCATCCCCAATGTCATTAATAGGTCTGTAGATTGAATAGCACAGCCTAAAAATAGGTCACGCCTTGCTTTATGTGATTCTCTGCTTCAGACTGTTGAGTTTGCCTAAACATGTCTAGAAATGTCTAGAAAGAGATTGGCGTGGAAGATTAGAAATGGAGAAAGCTGGGGTTGGGTGGACAGAAATCTTGATTTCTGCCTTTCTCTCTCTCTCTTTCTCTCTCTTGCTGTCTGTCACGTCCATTGGCGCATTTCTAGGATGACTGCTCTCACCATTCTCATGATCATATTCCGTTCTAGATCGGATAAGAACAGATTAATTGCCTTATAAAGCCCCTTTGTCAATTTATTTATTTATTTATTCCCTGTTGTTCTTATCGCAGGTTGGTCCCACAACATTTGAAGCAAAATTGCAGCCTCACTTAGTTTGGACGCTGGAACAGGCAAGATCTTGGCTCCCCTTCGTTTTTGGTCGGAAATTGCGGTGTTCACTCCGTTTTTTTCTTCATACTTATTGACATTTTTGGCAATAAGATATCCATTCCTGCATTGGAGATATAAATGGAAATCTAAAAAGTGGGTTTATGTTTATGGGTCAGGAAGCTAACCATGAAATGCTTGGTCGCCGGGCATGAACACCAATGCATCTAAACCCTGATTTTCAACCTACCCTGGTTGTGTATCATTCTCATCAATTTATTGGGTCACCAAGATCAGCGAGGAGCTCCCTTCATGAAGATGCCTGCCTAGTGTCCTTTTCCAGTCCTGGAAGAGGGACGAAATGGGTAAAGCAGGGAGAGATCATGGTGACAGGAGGATGATCTCCCGGGCTCAATTGGATTGTATAATGCCATTATTTTTAGTAGTTGAGAATATTATTCGAAAATCAGGAACATCCTATAAATTCCTAGAAGAGTTCTTGCCGTCCATTAAAGGTGAATTTTTTTAGCAGAAAATTCTGCCAGATAATCGGGCAAGTCTGCCAAGACAATGAATGATGATCAGCGCAGTCAACCCAAATCTTTTCTTACCCGATTTGGAATGTGGAATTTTCTCATCAAATTTATTTTTGCCCATTTTTCTTTTTATCAAATTCATGCTGCGGATCCCTCACCCTTTTCTTTTTCCTTCCCACCCTTCCTGTCTGCTTCAGATCCAGAAGAACATCCAGGAACAGGAGTACCAGCAGGTGGATGCAAGGTCAAAGGGCAGGTTAGCAGAGAATCCGTCGCATATGATCCCAGATATCTTATGATTGGCCCGATGATCTTGTGATCGCAGATCTTTAGAAACCATATTTCCACAATGGGTAAACTTTTTTTTTTTTTTAAAGAAATAATTCTCTGAAAACTAATTCCAGGTTTGATGGTGTGGCTCCGGAGCCTCGGAAAGGGATCAAGAGCGGCCACATCCCTGGAAGCAAGTGCGTTCCTTTTGGAGAGGTAACGGTCATCAATCGAACCTCAAGAGCAATAAATAAATAAATATTAATTAATTACTAAAAATAGAATATTTGATTATCTTAAAATTCGCATTTTCGTTCGTATTTTTTTTGGCAGGTTCTGGACACCTCTCAGACGCTCCTGCCCCAGAGAGACCTCGCGAAGAGAATCGAGGACGAAGGTTTAAAGAGATAGAAACCTTCCCATATTTTCCACTCTGGGTAAACCATTCCTGGTCTCTCGGCCGTTGACTTTTGGGCATCGCAGGGATCTCTCTCCACCGTCCGATCGTGGCTTCCTGTGGGACCGGGGTCACGGCCTGCATCCTCGCCTTGGTAAGAAGATCTCCGTCCCCCCCTTTTAGTGTTTTTTAGGGAAGGCGGGGATATGACAGGAAAGGAGGTGGTATCTGGTGGTGGATTTGGTTGACGAAGAAATCTAACCAGCTGGCTGCTTCTTCTTTCAGGGTTTGTATCGGCTGGGGATGGCCGACGTCCCGGTCTACGATGGGTCGTGGACCGAGTGGGCGTTGACCCACCCCCGGAGCACCGATCAACCCGGCCTGATCTCAGACAGTCGTCTTGGTTGACTTCTCATGAATATTTACTACTCGAAGAAAGTCAAAGCCTAGATAGATAGAGAGAGAAAGAGCTGGGCTCACCTGTTGTTGGGTGGACTAGTTGAAGTTGGCTTCTTTTGAGCGTATTTGATGCAGAATTTGTGCGTAATGTTTGTAAGTGCAGTGTGCGATTTGAGGAGAATATAGAAGAATGTCTAGAGAGAGAGAGAGCTGGGCCCACCTTTTGTTGGGTGGGTGGGTCCTACATCTTTCAAGTGAATAAGGTTGGCATCTTTGAGCATATTTGAGATTTACGCATAATGTGTGTAAGTGCAGTGCACGATTTGAGGAAAAAATATAGAAGAGTATCTGTTCTGTTTGCAGCAACGGATGAGCCCAGAAGATGAACTCCTGTAGAGAGAGAAAGAGAGAGGAAGGCGACGATGACGATACGTGGAAGAAGCTCCTGAGGCAGAACTCTAGAGAGCGAGCGAGAGAGATAGTACGTGGAAGAGGCTCTTGAGCAGCGGCGGCGGCGAGGATTGGTGCCATGGCGGCGGCGGCGGCGAGGAACAGAGGGGGAAGCGTCCTGTTCAGCCAGAACGTCAAGATAACCCAGCTGGGCAAGTGCGGGAGGATCGAGGAAGCCGCCACAGTCTTCTCCTCCATGCCCCGCCGCAACACCGTCTCCTTCAACGCTATGATCTCTGCCTTCGCCAAGAACAACCGCCTCGCCGCCGCCCGCCGCCTGTTCGACCAAATGCCCGCCAGAAACCTCCTCTCTTGGAACTCCATGCTCGCCGCCTACTGCCACCATGGGAGATCCCTCGAAGCTCTGCAACTCTTCCAGAGAATGCCCTCCAGGGACCCCTTCTCCTTCGCCCTCATGATCACCTGCTTCTCCAGGAAAGGGATGATGGACGAGGCCAAGAAGATCTTCCTCCAGAGTAGAAGCAGCTGCTGCAACTCCGTCGTCTGCTACAACGCCATGATTGCAGGGTACGCCAAGAACGGGAGATTCGAGGAGGCGAAGCTCCTGCTGGCGGCGGCACCATCGCCGGACATGATCTCCTGGAACTCGGTGCTCGCGGGGTACACGCAGAGGGAGAAGATGGGCGCCGCCGCGAGCTTCTTCTTCAAGGAGATGCCGGAGAGGGACGCCGTCTCGTGGAATCTGATGGTGGACGGGTTCCTGCGCGGCGGTGAGAACGCAGCTGCTTGGGACTATTTCCGGCGAACTCCTCGCCGGAACATTATCTCCTGGGTGACGATGGTGAGCGGACTCGCGAGGGCCGGCATGGTGGCGCAGGCGAGGGAGCTCTTCGACCAGATGCCGGAGAAGAACCTCGCCGCCTGGAACGCCATGATCTCCGGCCATGCTCAAGCCCTGCAGATCCACGAAGCCCACCAGCTCTTCTCCCAGATGCCGCAGAGGAACGCCATCTCCTGGACCGCCATGATCAGCGCCCTCGCCAGCGCCGGAAGCCTTGCCACGGCGAGGGACCTGCTCCGGCGGATGCCCTTCCGCCGGAAGACGGCGGCGCAGACGGCGGTGATCTCTGGGTACGCGAGGATCATGAACATGGAGCAAGCTCGGGAGCTGTTCGAGCAGATGACCGAGAGGGACGTCGTCTCCTGGAATGCCATGATCGCAGGGTACGCCCGCTGCGGAAGAATGGAGGAGGCCCTCCAACTATTTCAGAGCATGCCGGAGAAGGACGTCGTCTCCTTCAACACCATGATCGCCGGCTTCGCTCAGGCCGGGCAACCTGCGCAGGCGGCGGCGCTGTTCGAGCAGATGGGCAACGAGAGGAACACCATTTCATGGAACTCGATCATCGCTGGGTTGACCCAGAACGGCCTCCACCACGAGGCGCTGAGGAAGCTCATCTCCATGCTGCGCGCGGGCGAAAGGCCCGACGGGTCAACACTCTCCTGTGGGCTCAGCGCCTGCGGCAACCTGGCGGCGCTTTTCGCCGGCGAGCAGCTCCACGCTGCCGTCGTCAAGTTCGGCTTCTCCGGCGACGCCTCCGCCGGGAACGCGCTTATCGCCATGTACGGCAAGTGTGGGGAGATCTCTGCGGCGGAGAGGATCTTCAGAGAGATGCAGGCCCCCGATGTGGTCTCCTGCAACTCGCTCATCTCAGGGCTCGCCATGAACGGCGGCGGGGCGGCGGCGCTGGAGCTCTTCCGGGAGATGGTCGGAGCGCTGAAGATCCCCCCCGACGAGGCCACCTTCGTGGGCGTCCTCTCCGCTTGCAACCACGCGGGGCTCGTCGAAGAAGGTCTGCAAATCTTCCGCTCCATTTCAGGACCTTCTGTGGAGCACTTCGCCTGCGTGGTGGATCTCCTCGGAAGGGCCGGGAGAGTGGAGGAGGCGTACGAGCTGGTGAAGAAGACGATGGCCGCCGGCGGCGATATGACGGCGACAGCCGGTGTGTGGGGGGCGCTGCTGGCGGCGTGCCGGGTGCACTGCCGGAACCCTAATCTGGCCGGCGTCGCCGCCGGGGAGCTGGCGGACCTGGAGAAGAACTACTACGTGGGGCTGTCGAACGTCCATGCAGAGGAGGGGAGGTGGGAGGAGGCAGAGAGGGTGAGGAGGATGATGAGGGAGAAGAAGGTGAGGAAGGAGACGGGGTGCAGCTGGATAGAGGTCAACGGGGAGGTGCGGGCTTTCGCCGCAGGTGGCCCGGGACAGCACAGGGTGAGCCCGACTTGGGGGGTGCTAGAGACGTTGACCGAGCAGATCAGGAGGATGACGGCTGCAACTGCGGCGGGGGAGTTGACTTTTAATACGGCTGACGTGGAGGGGTGAGTGATTTCCGATCGTGGAAGAAAAGGGGTTCTTGACTTTCTCGGTCGCCCACCAGTGAAGAAGTGTGGGCGGGCTCTCTTGTTGAACATCGGTCAAACATGGGGGGGGGGCAGCATTGGAGGCTACTACTGGATACGTTGACCGAGCAGATCATGAGGATCACAGGTGCAGCCGAGTTGACTTCTCCTGATGATCCTGGAAATGGGCTCTTGACTTCTCCGGTCACCAGTCAAGAGGTGGGCTCTCTTGTCGGAGGTCAATATTCGTCCCATTGACTCACATATGACGACAAGTTGACTCACATATGAGGACATTCGCCTAGGGCCCAACCCACCCACCCCACGAGGAAATGGATAACATTATCAAACTTCTCAGATGCTTCACTGATTCAGGTTTGTCTGTACAAAACGCCTTTATAGCCTCAGATAAATAGACTATCTACGATTTCTTCAGCTAGACAAAAAAAGAAAAAAAAAAAAGCCGATTTTTTTTTAAGGAATATGCACAAATTATCAATTTTCTGAAAAAGCCCATGTGGCCCATGGATCGCCCACCGTGAAGAGATTACCTCTTTTATTACTCGGATTTAGAGCTTGGCCGTGCTTCACCTTGAACAAAAAAGCGGCATTTTTCTGGTTATTTTCCACCTTCAAACTGGCTGCGCAGCTGCTCATACTTCCTCAGTTCGGAGATTGAGAGAGAGGGACTCAGCTCTCCCAGGGCCTGAAACGAGACAGAGGAGAATGATATTATTACAGCTGTGCAATTATCTATAAATATATAGGAATGTGATGATATCTTATGGTGGATTTAGTCCTCATTATTGCAGTTTATACTCTTCAATGAAATTAACCAGAAATATCCGAATCTGATGTTTTCTCGTGGGCATAGCTCTCTATAGCTCGGTTTGATCGTTATGTGATGCTTTAAATGCAGAAAAATGGGAAATATGGGAATGCAATGCTTTAATGCAGATATAGTTCTCATGATTTTGGTTCGATCCTTCAATGAAATTAACCAGAAATACCTGAATATTGAGTCAAACACTCGGAAATAATTTTCACTATTTCAGAAATATGGGAATTATCCGATATTCTTCTCATTATTTCAGCTTAATGAGCATAAATATTCGAATCTGATCGTTTAATGATCATAAAATTCGTATTATTTCGCTTGAAAGTTTGTACCCAATTGACCAGACTACCAGAATCTAATCCAAATGCATGGTTTGGGTGGTCTGGGAGAAAAATTATATCAAGGTACCTTCACAAAGTCGTCAAGCTCAACAATGACTGCATTAGGATCATCAATGACACCACCTTCGGAGTCGGAAAGTTGGGGAGACGCCTGAAGAACAACCCAAAAGAATATTTTATTAAAAAAAATAAAATGAGAAATCGTTCTAACACAATATGCAAGGATAGGAGATGATCAACTAGAATGAGCAGGAAGCATAACCACAATTTTCCTTTTAAAGCTGCATGATTATTAAAAAATAAAAAAAATTAAAAAACATAACCATAGTTTTTCTCAAGTGTAGACCACAGGAAAACATTACAGTTTATTCATTTCCAACACGAATAAACTCTGACCGCATGTTATTAAAACATAGCTCGAATCATAAATCATCAAAATCGCAGAGGCATAAGATATGATGAACACAAATTATCCTCTTCGCACACTGTAAAACTGCAGTTGAACTAAACACCATAGCACCCACCCACCTGATACGAAAGATTTTCAGAAGCCATTATCGATTTAATAAATAAATCACATGTTTAACATTTTCTTCTTTGTAGGCCGGAAGAACAGGCTGTAATTTATTAATTTCGAGCATGAACAAAAAGTATTGATCATGACCAATAAATATATATATATATATATAATTTATATGTTATTTCTAGTAAATAACATAGAGATCACCTTGCGCTTTGCAGCATGAAACCAAGCATCGGTGCACAGTGCATACATATCCGCACCAGTGAAGTTGGGTGGGCATCTCTTTGCGACCGAAGACAGAGAAACATTCTTATGCAGTTTAAATTTTCTAGTGAGAGACACAAGAACCCTGAAAAATATTATAAAAAAAAGGCCGTTCAGGACGCCACAATGTTGAAGAAAGACCAATGGAATCGTGCCCGCGCCGCAGCTTACCTCTCCTTCTTGGATGCTTCGGTGTTGACTCCAACATACAACAACTTATCAAACCTGCCTGGACGAAGGAGCGCTGGATCAATAAGGTCAGGCCTGTTGCTTGCCCCAATGATGAACAGGTCCTGCAAGGGAGAAAGAAAATGCTCAAATTGTTCTTTTATTTATCTGGGTATGTAAGCCTGATGAAAAGATTTGATCTTGTCAGAACCAAGCAACAGTCCACGCATGGAGAAAAGAATCAGGAGAGGACCTGCTTGGACTCACTGAGGCCATCGATCTCTGCAAGCATCTGCAGGGAAGAAACGTTAAATTACATTTACTCAACCAGAAAATCAGTGTAGGAAAAAAAAATCATGGCATTTCTCGGTCAGGGTCTCCAAACGGAACCAGATGAAGCTTTGAGCCTGGCCGGATGGGTTAATGATCCAAGAGCCCCACCGTAAGCATTGCTTCCTCTCCCACTGCCCAAAAGTCGTATACGATATTTACCTGAGAAACTACCCTGTCCATGACGCCGCCGGAATCGCCGGAGGCCCCTCGAGCTGGAGCGAGGGAATCCAGCTCATCAAAGAAGATGACACAAGGGCGAGCTGACCTGGCCTTTTGTCAGAGGTAAAGACTTACTGTCATTATCTCAGTATAATTCAAGGTTTTGGGGCACCCAGAATCCAAGAAGAAAGCAGACCTTCTCAAATATGTCCCGCACATTTTTCTCTGATTCTCCAATGTACATGTTGATTAATTCAGGACCCTTAACGCTCAGAAAATTCAAGGAGCACTCCGTTGCCACAGCCTTTGCCAGCAATGTCTAAGCATGATGGCAGATGAGAATCAATCACTTTTGTCAAATTCAAGCTAAGGCAAAAGAAATATTTCAATAATAATAATACTAATAATTAAAAAATAGCGTTTTTTTTAAGCTTAGACAAATATACTTGCCTTCCCTGTCCCAGGAGGGCCATAAAGAAGAACACCTGAACGCTTGCGGAGCCCAGATGAAAATAACTCCTTGTGGAGAAGCGGCAGCTGGAGGAGGGGAAAAAAAGAGTCAAAAGCATTTAGATCAATCAGGAAAACTGGGTTTCCCTTTAAACTGCCAGACGTTTACCCATTAATGTACGAGGTGCAAACTAAAATGAAGAACAAAAGAAACTGACGATTCCATGTAGAAAAGCAGCAAGCATGAACATGAAAGATAACCCCACCTGGACGGTGTCCAGAATGGATCTCTTTACTTCTTCAAGTCCACCAACATCTTCCCACTTCACATTTGGAACCTGTCTGACAAGTAAAATGAGTCTCCAGAGAACATCAAGTGATTTAAAGATGAGGCATGGCCACTCAGTTCATGAGAGAAAAGATGAGGAGAAAATTTCGTTTAGGCGGGATAATCCGACTTTTAAATGAATAATTACGAAGATAACTACGCGAACCAAGCAGAAGAGTATCGATTTCTCATTGGGGAATCTACTCCCGTTTAAAGACGAGGAAGAGTTTCTCACTTTGGGGGTACCAAGGGCAGATGCATTTCGCTTCTTTGATCGCTCTAATGCTTTGGATAAGTCCTTGCAAAGGTCAGCGGCTCCATATTCTCCAGAAATTTCATCGCTAAGAAGGGGACGGATAACTCTGCTGCCATTACTACTTTCTGCTCCAAATTTTTCTGTGGAACTTGGGAGTCTAGAAACAAACATTGCGCCAGCATCGGCGACCAAAGCACGAATGTCCCGGGGCATGAAGCCTGATGTCTGTCCAATAATGTCCTTTAGAAGCTCTGGACCAAACTGCTGGGGAAAAAAAAGCAAAAACACCGGATGAAGCGATCCAACAATAACTTGAAATAGCCAGAGTACATGTCTGGAAGGTCAAAGTTTATTGATGTGCATGTCCATACATGACTCTGGCCATTGGAGACGCCTTCAACTGACTGCAAAAGCATCTCCCCTCTTTGTGCTTCCGATAATGGGTTCATGTTCAACTCATGGCTAAAGCAACGCCGGATGGATGGCTGCAGGCCATCAGAGTTGTTTGCAGCAGCAACTAAAAGAACGCGTTGCCCATTTGCCTGACCATCACACGATATACCCCTTTAGACATGCGTAAAAAACTAAAACTTGAGGAGATGCAAGCAATCTAGATAAGAAATAACTGCAGCGTACAGGATCGTCTTTAGATACATGGCTGGAAGGTTGGGTTTGTTCTTCAGGAAGAGGCTCAGTGAACTCCCTGACAACAGATGCGATTTCCGACACGATGGCAACTTGATCAGATGGTGAACCATCATTGCCTTGCAGCTTTCCAAACACCTCAAAATTGCGTAGAAGAAGTATGGAAGGAGCATATCTGTTGTCCAAACAATGGTTAGCATCATAGACGCCAGAATGAAGAAGAATCAGTATTGAGTGAAAGTGGTTCGAAACTGTTTATTAGTCCAGGATGCATGTAACAGCAGGCAGTACGAAAAGTCAGAGCATGGAAGCATAAACTGGAGATGTTTGTATTTAAAAATAAATTAAAAATATAAAAAAAACTACTCCACCAAAACAGTGTATGGGTGGGCTAAACCCGTGGCAAAACATATGGGTTACTCCCACCTGATGCTGTCTAAAACAGCATCAACAATGTACAAATTTCAATGGAAGAAATCAACGGGCAAACCCAGAGTGAAAGAGATTTAATTTATGAAGTAAAGCAACTGAGTGGAAAATAATCTCAAAAACATACTCCTTATTCTGGGCCCGGATTAAAAACCCAGGTCATCACGTGTCTATGAAAGTTAAATCAACAAGAAATGAATGCGTTGACTATTAAACCGCATCTAGCATACATTTGAAATGCTTCTAACATCTGTCATCACATTCCAATGTTTAGTTTTCAGAAAAAGCCAAAAAAGTTCGAATAATTTGACCAAAATATTATCAATCAAGAAGTTAGCAACAAGCTAATGGAGCACACAATAAATCAATGCAACACAGGTTGTTACCATTGATATATTTTTTTCGTGAAATACAAAAAAATAACATTCAAAACTTCACAAAAACTACCCATATGATGTTATTGGGCGGATCCACTGAAAATACACAGAAAATTGTACTGCTACAGTGCGGTCAGTGTGGAGATACGAAACAAAACATAAAATAAATTAATCATATCCATAAGAGGGACCGGAAGTAGCAAAATGGAGCCACTTTCTGAAGAAGGAGAACCGATATTGGAAATACCTTTGAGCAGTACTGAAGGCGTGTGCGAGAGCAATAGATGCTTTCTTTTCTGAGGCTGACATCAAATCATGACAGCTATATTCCACCAAATGCAGTCCAAGGCAATGCGCAACATATCTGACAACAGTTCTCTTCCCACAATCTGCGAGGAGATATTTTTCAAAATAGAACCCTAAACCTCCATTAAAAGTGTGCATGCAATCCTGTCAAAGAGTCTTGAGGGTACCATGTCTCACCAGCAGGACCAAACAGAAGCAGCGCCACTCTCAATTTTGATGAAAGCGCAGATGGGCACAAGGTGGGTACAAAGATAGAGGCCATATTTCTCACTGCGTCCATCTGCAAAGGAACAGGCCCACTGATCCCCCCCACCAGTGAATGAGGAGGAACAGGAGATGGCATGTGTCCTCCGAGCACAAGCGCCGTATTTCTACAGTTGGCTCGAAGAATGTGATCTTCCAACGGTTCCATAGCCACAACCTGCAGAAAGAAAGAACTTTTCTGAAATTCTTCTACTTATTCTGAACTATTCTATAAGACAAACCATCATGAACTTTTCTCTAAGTCAAAAGGAATCACAGGCAAAAGTCAAATGCAGCTCAGAAAGGCAATGTTTTAACTGGAACAAAACCTATAATGGTTCTTCATGCATGAGCATCAAGACAGTCATCCTATATAAGTTGTGGACTTTATCAGAAGAAAAGAGAGCAAACGACGGGCCATGGATCATGAAAAGAACAACACTAACCCATAAAATTGCATACCTTGAAGTAGATCAGATCAGCAGAGGGTCTTCTCTGGTCCTTGCGGCTGCAAGCAACACACATCTCCGAACAACAATTCCAGTTTAGATTCACGCCAAAGACATCACCCCTTGCAAGGAACCTATCAACGCTGAAATAATCACTTAAAGATGAGTCGATCAACTTCTGGCGATCTTCTGCTTCCGTCGGCGAGCTTCCACGCAGGGATTCGAGCAGGCTGCACTCTGGCGTCCTCACAAAGGATATCCGCAGGTGTGAGGCATATCTGGGCACCTGAGACAGAGGAGCAAGCTCCACAGAGACTGCAGTTCTTCTGTCCAACTCACGACGTTCGGAACTGAACAAGGACTCTATGCCTTCCTTTCCGCCATGAAGAAGGACGTTGAAGGCTGATAAATGCAGCCCCATACTGAAGGCTAAAAGTGGAGAGATATAGGCGATACCCCCATCAGGCTGAGAAATCTCACTAGAGTCATGAGAATGCAGTGGGAAGATCCCCATCGCAAGATGCTGAGAAGGCGATTCGGCTTGAATTGCTGCTCGTCTCTCAGGCTGGCCAAGAGCAAGAATTCTCGCGACCCTTCCCACATTCGTCGATGTATTCTTGATCAGAATCTGGAAAACGGTTGGAAAGATTGAAGGTGGGTAAAGGAAATGAATTTGAAAAGAAAATCATTCAAGGCCATGAATTCCAAACCATGAAAGTATCTGACGCTGCCCTGCGATAAATAGTTCCCACAATATTTATGATGTTTCTGATGCTGATTCAGGTGGCGCAGAGAATGGGTTTCAGTTAGATTTGCCAATTCAACGGGGAAGGGGGATGTCAGTGGATTTCTGTCAGCCAAAGAATCTGGTTTCAAGGATTGGCATCAAATTCTTCGCCGCAGATGATACCATAGCGTTGGCTGGAGATGATACCATAGCGTTGCCCGGTTCGAGTTCTATCAGAGTCCAATTCTATCTTTTATCCTATGGATTGCCGAAGACCGTAAAACCCAGTGGAGACTGGTCAGGGAGCTAGCAAATCCAGAAAAGTCCCCATCCCTCTACGAAATCTGGTACTCTACTGGTGGCAGAGAGTTCCAAGCTCGGCTTTCATGGCGAAGCTGAGAAATAAGAACATCTTAGGGGAGGAGGAGGGGGAGAGATGAAGGTGGAGAGCTTACCAAAGACCCAGAGGTTAGAGAGAGACTCTTCAGGGCCGAAGCAGAGACGCCCACCGTGTCAGCCAACACCTCCGGTTCCCCCTCCGCGCCGCCGCCCCGCCGGAGGATCCCCGCCCTCAGCCGGAGGCCCGCCGGCGGCGGAGCCTTCTGGGCCGGCAGCAGAGCAGCGCCTTCCCCTGTCTCGCCGCCGCCTCCCTCCCCGTCCGCCTTCACCGGGCTGAGCACGGAGTCGAGGAGGGCCCTGGTGGACCACAGCACCAGGGGCTCCCTCCTCCCCACCACACCCATCTATCTCCAGAACCAGATGCAACGGAGTTGGAGAGAATTAGAGAGAGAGAGAGAGAGAGATTTTGCGGCAGTCGAATTGCAGGCGGGGTCATCGTCTTCCTACCTGCGATCGAATAGCTTCTCTTCTTCACAAATTTTGCCTTTTCAGTCGATCCCTCGAATATACTTTCCCTATCTCGTCGATGATCACACCCAACTCAGTGAACTCCTCCCGTCGAATTCCCCCAGAAATAGGATCTACGACAGTAGACGGCTTTTCCTAGCTCCAATCGTACAAAAGAAAAGAGCAGAGCTTGATTCCGGGATTCGATCCGGGTTCGTCTGACGTTTCAGGATATCTCCGACAAGCTTGATGTGGTCGGAATATCGATCATCAATTTAATAATATTGATCAGGAATTAATAGTTCGTCGATAACCCAAGAAAGTGCTGAGCTCAGCCTAGCTTTTTCGGAAACAAAAAAGAGCGATGCATGATGATATTCCATCATAACGGACCAAGTCAACGGCGTCGTACGGACTAGCTCTGATGGAGTAAGAGTCTCATTCTGAGGAACAAGTCAAAGAGAAAAACTGGCCGGATGATCGATCAACAACACCTGTAAATGCTCCGCAAACTCTCTCTCTCTCTCTCTCTCTCTCTCTCTCTCATATTCAGTCATTCACTGCCATGCCGAATACAGTAGAGAAGAAGACGAGTTCATTCATTTCCAAGGGAAGATTGCTCAACAGGGAGAAGGAGCCGGGGAGGGGGACTTGCTTCCTTTCATGGGTCTATAAGGGAAATGAAATGAACATCTGAGTGGTGATTAGGGCTGGCAACGTCTCCGTCAGTCGCTTGGGCGAGAAGTATGCTACAGCTGTGCGGAGAAAGACGGGGATATCGTTCTCTGCAGTACGTCATGATCTCTTGTCAAACTTTCTCTCACTAGACTTCTCCATGGCTTCTCTCCGCTTCTGCTGCCTGCAAGTCGCAGCAGTTCGATCGGTATGAATTCACCCAGGAAAAGATCAGCCCTTGTAAAGGGCTTTTAAAAATCAAGCCAAGTTTGCAGAAGATAAATAGATCGAGATAGAGATAGAGAGAGAGGAGAGAGAGGCTTACGCGAAAGCAGTATATCCACCACCGGCGCTTGTGGTTGATAGCATGGCTGCATGGACACCGGCAGCATCGAGTCCGGTGGACGAAGGATTTCTGAGATCAGTATCAATCTGTCACAGGCAAAACGCACAGAAATGCCATGAAATCCTCCTGGTTTGGAAATCTGCAAGGGAAAAAGAGAAGAACCATCCATCCTGTGAGGTGAGGAGCAGACCTTGTCCCACTTGCTTTTCTTGCTCTGCCTGCCATCTCTTGAGGGAGCCTCAGCAGCTGCAGCAGCCGACGCCAGGGCCCCAGTTGCAGCGGCAGCAGCGGCGGCGGCAGCAGCAGCGGCGGCAGCAGCAGCAGCAGCTGAAACACAAGGGAAACATGGAGACGGGATGGGTGAGAATGGAAGCCCAAGCTGGTCGAGACCCATTAATGGCCGATGAAGAAGACAAGGGGAGTGGATTCGTTACCAGGTAACTGTGCACTGACTTTTGGTGCCGGGATGGCCATGGCAGGCTGGGTGCCCCCAGGAACAAAGTCAACTTTAGGGCTTCTCTTCCTCTCCTGCTCCCTTCTCTCAATTTCCCGCTTCATATCAGCCTCTATCAAAGCACAAACGAAGGTCAACGAGGAGCATAACTGGAAAGTCAAGTTCTTGGAGCAGTCAGCATTCTCCATTTACTGATCAATCAACATTGGGACTCCACCAGGTGGGGGAATAAGCAACCAGAATATGCAACCTTATTTTAGAAAATGCCGACAAACATTTAACAGTCATGTAACAGCACACAGAATCGATTAAAAGTCAAAGGAAAAACCGGGGCGACTAATTTGGACTTGGACTGGCTCGCTTCTGAAAAATGATGAATTGATCAGCTATGAGTCAAACAAGCTCATATATTTTCACCATTAAATTCAGTCTAGAATGCCACCCAACAACAGCTAATCATACAGCATCGGATCTGGCTTTCATCATTTCCTATTATAGTAAACCGCTGAAGGGTTCTGTTTGGGAGAGAGCCTACAGTAGATAGCAACCCCCCTCTTCTCTCTCTACGACAGCTTCTTCATCGAAATAAAGAAGAAACCATGCCCAAATTTTGAAAGTGATCAGAGAAGGCATCAATCCCAGTCCACCAAAAAAGGATTCAGGAGGCCATCCATGGTAAGAACTTGTTGAACCCCAGTGAACTTCAATCCTCTCTCTCTCTACTTCTACTTTCCTAGTTTATGGCATTTAGGGGAAGACAAATCCAATATCCAACAGCATTTAAATATCACACCTGGCACTGGATGAACGTATGCCTCTTCTTTCACTGAATAGAGACTGAATATAGTCTCCAATTGATGCCAAAGCACAGAGAATCGTTCCTTTTATGGGAGGGAAGAAAATAAATAAAAATTAAAAGTGCTGATGATTTTTCATGGGTAAGAATTGATTCAGCAATCTCACATTATTCGAGTAAAGATAATATATAAGAAAAATAAAGAAAGAATCTAGGGAAATAAAAACATGTTCTATGAAAAGATTAATGCATAAAGTAACAGCAAGGGGCAGAATTGAAACTTGAAAGGAACTGACAATGACCTATCGCATCATAGTAGTCGCTTTTGTCATACCCATGAGGGTCAAAGACATCTTTGCTGAAGCAAGACCCCATCTGATCGATCTCTTGATATGTCACAGCATGCTGCAAGAAGTCTGGGTTCCTGTAATCCTTCCTATTTCGCAGGTCGGCATTGAAACTCTTTCCAACCCTCTTGTAAGCAAGGAACTTGTTTATCTTCTCCTATGATTAAAAAGAAAAATGGTAAAAAAAATGAAAACTATTAAAATGCGAAAGCTAAACCAAGGAAATGAGACTATACACTGTCTTTCATCTTATATTATTATTTTTACTGTACAGAACAAGGATAAACAACAAGCAATGTAAATAGCTGAAATTTATGTACGTGTTAAATGATCAAAAAATAGCAGCACGTGAATCAGCACGACCCTGTCCTAATGAAGTCAACTGCATATTCATCTGACTATGTGCCAATGACGTTGACTGCCAACTCTTTTGTAAAAAATTGGTTTAAAAAAACATTCAAATGCATTAAATCTTCTCAGCAGATTACCACCCTTCATTACGAATATGTAACGGTGCAATAGGGACTTAATATGCTCATGAAACTACATTATTGTTGACAGAAAAAATGGAACTGTAAGAAAATGAAGCATCCATACAGCCACCATTAGATTGAAGAAGAGGGTGTGTTGAACCTCTCTACATCTCATATTCCAAGAAAAGGAAATGCTCATAATTTATGGACCTACGTTGGACCTCAAATTGGTGAAAGAATACTAAGAAGTCAAACCAATAAAAGTCAAAACAAGTTTTGGATAAAACTTTGTCTATGTTTAATAAATGCCATCGGCATTCTGATGTTTTCCTTGTTTGAAGTTGACTTTATACTATGTTCAGTGAAAAATACTTTCAGACCCATTTTTCTTGTAATCCAATATTTCCCATGAATCACACGTCCCTCTCTTTATTGTTGACTGCTGTGATTGTGGAAGGTTTCTATGTTATTTCTTCTCTATCATTCGACTCATTAGATTCTCTTCCATCTTTTAGCATAATGGACAATAGAAGAAGAGAGCTTTAATCAGAAATTGTCTGAGTTACTTTTCTAACTGAGGCTTTCTCGTATTAATTGAAACTAACGATTGGATTCTCCCCTGAAATACTTTAGGATCTCCTCAATAGGGCATATCATATAATCAGCCAGAGCAGAAAAAATTGGGCCAATTCTGATCAGCTCAGTGAACTTAAGAAGGATACAAAAGGTGGAGTGTAAGAAATGTACAGCCTTATTAAGTAATAAATTTTTTTTAATGAGGTAAAAATTCGCCTTAACAGACCGCACCAACGAGACCCAGCCACAGTAGGAATTTTTTGCAATTCTCATCAGCCATGCACAGTCCAAATTCAAGGTAAGTCATGAAATTCTGTTTGAAATTTGTAAGAGAGAAAAAAGGAACTGGTTAGAAATCAAACCGCTGGAAAAGACCTCTTAACTACAGAAAGAAGAGGAAGAGTTAAGGAAGACGAGGGAAAAGGAAACAGTACAGGAAGAGGAATAAGAAAGACTCAATGCCGACGACCACCAACTGATATCAGGAAACTAGTTATAACTTTCTTTAAAATATGATGAGCATGAGAAATTGGTGTTGCGGACGAGGGGGAGATTTCGATTTGGCATTATGCTTAAATCTCAAATTAAAAAATTCATTCTAGCTATAACTATTAAAAGTATTTGCAGTACACACTTTTACACTATAAAATTACCCTGCATTATTTTCAATGGGATTGGGCTTCCACCGTGAACCAGCTGATTTAGTCAATCACATTGCAGCCCTGACTGGATTAGCATGGCCCCGTGGGAAGCACTCGATCCACTTCAGAAGACACGTGCTTAGTTAGATGAGTTCAATAGCTGAAGTACATGAGCTCTTAGCGTTTGCTAAAGTTTACGATTTATGTGATGTGTATAGCTCGAAAAATCGACCCATAAGGAATAAGTGACGTCTTAAAGATTTGAAAGGAGGGGAAGGTAGAAACGATAACTTGAGAGAACAAATGTGATAAAAACAAGGGAACCACCAATGCACAACCTCTGCCACCACCTATGTTCTGTAATTCCACGAGCTGGTGCAGTCGCTGTGATATTCAACAGTGTATTGTTTGAGGCTGCGGGGAAATTGGAGGGAGGGGCTTTCGAAAATGCTTAGTTGAAAAAAAGCTCTAAGTTTTGTCCTTTTACCAAAAGTATCTATAAATATACTTTCCAGATTATAAAAATGTCCTTACATTTTCTTGCTTTATGCTATTTCCATCTTGTTTTTTATGTCATGGGAAATATCACCACCATCTTAATACACAATGTGAGAGACAACTGGAAAACGTTAACCAGACAAAGATCTTACATTCATGCTTAGTAATCGCCATGAAGTCCTAAACAATCTATTTGCGGTTAGCATAAGGCCCAATCATTAAAAAATTATTTCTGGCCAGCTGTCAACCTGAGGACAATCGCCCTTTTCTGGAGTCATATAACTAAATATTTATCTCTCCGTGGAAAAGGAAACATTGGAAGGTAGGCGCAAGTCGCCAGTTTCTACTGGTAGCCAGTAGAAATCTGTATCATGACATAAAAATAAGAGTAAAAGATCATACAAAACGGGAAAAGGGACAAATGTCACGGCCAAGAGAAAGGAAATAAGTAATTGAACATGCGGATAAATATAAAAATCAGGAACTTTATTTTGAAGGGAAATCATAAAAGAAGATTAAATAAGGAAAGTAGATTGATAAATATAGAGGGAAGAAGAACAAAGTTACAACATGTAAAGAATCACTAGTCAGCTTTTAAGTCAATCCATTGAAAGGGATAGTGACTATAGATGCATTCAGTCCATCCAATGTACGTCCAAACCATCTCAACCCTCAATTCATTATCATTATTCGCATGGCCTTCCATTACCAATTTTTCCAATTTTTCCTCGTAATTCGGTTCCTAATAAAAAGGAAAAATTGTGACATTCACATAATGTTTTAAAGTTGAATGTCAATCATCTAAATGTCCGAAATTTTGAGGGTCAGAGCCATGTGTTCCACCAGATTTATGTTACTCGAAGTGGTACATAGTTTAATGCTGTATGAAGGAAATGTTTTGACATCTGATATGCTTGAATCACATAAGCATACGTACGATGCATAAGTAGAAATAGAACGAGACTAGATCTGCTGATTTAAATCGTAAACTCCAAGAGAAGAACATCAGAAAAACATTAGCTGTTCTTTTCGTTCGCGTTATAGGATACTTGAACATAATTAGTATTTCAGCTTGCATGCGATATAGATTAATAATTTTTTAACCAGAACTAAATCAGTTAAGCTAGGAGGAAGAAAAACCTGCAGCTCTTCAGAACACTTCACAGCAACAGGCAAAGGAAGGAAGTCGCTCAGTTGATCATGCTCTTGCCGAACTGCATCAGCCATATCAACATCCATTTCAACTGGAAGATTTTCTTGATCTGCCTGTAACATATCTGCTGGTGTATTTGCCTCTGATCTTGTTTCTGCAGGTTGTTCTGCATGTCGTGGAGGGGATAGCTGAGTGCTTGTTGTCACTGCCTGGTTAGATGAGGGCGAAAATCTTTCTTCCATATGACCTGTTAGTGAACATCAAGAAGTTCAATGGTAACAACGTGATGAAATCATGACACAAGTTAAACAGAACTTTTATTCAAGTTAAATAGACCTAACAAATAGATACAACAAGAAAAGAGGTCAGTTAAAACCAGGAGCATTAGATGTGTATTAACTACAGCTAAAAATAATGTAAAGGCCTGCTGGAAAACGAAAGTAGAATAAACTGAGTCGATTCCATGAAAAAGGACAACGAAGAAACTTACTATATGTAGTCACATTACAAAGTATAGTTAAAGTACAAACCCAAAATTAATCCATAATCAAGAGTTTTTCCCTTACCTTAAAATTTAATCTTGCAATAAATCATTAATCCGTAATCAGCAAACAAAGAGAAAGTCAGAGAAGAAAAACTGATTCAATGTGGTTGATTCAGGCATTCCCCAAAACTGACGAAAATGGAAACTGGGAAATAGAGGTAAATCTCAAAATAAATTGTTTCTTCTCTGAAAAAGTATCATTCCCAACCACAAGTGTGACAGGGTCTGCTATGCATAGTAGTTTTGGTTCTGCTGAATAGCCCAAAGAAAGGTTGACTCTGCAGAGGTCGTAGGGAGAGATACCTCCAACTCATTCTCATGAGTACTACTTCCTCATCTGTTTAGAAAATGGTGAAATTATCCCAAACGGGCTCAGTTTAAAATAGCTACCAAACCTGTTTATCCCCTGAAAGTTGCCAATGGCATGACACAACTAATGCTTTAACCTCCAATAAAAAATCAATATAAATCATATTCTTTCCCTATTATCCGCTATGTCGCACTACACATTTCATAACCAGGGAATTATCATTACCTGCTTTTCCCAACTTTCATTAGCTTTCATAGAGATATACTTTGGGCTCACTAGAATTTCTGCTTTCAGTAGAACCGGAAATTTACTCTGAATATTATCTTTCAAACGTGGGTGCATGGTCACACAAGTAATCGACACATTCATAAATCACGAAAAACAAAATTAATTACAAGCCATTTGAGCCATAAGAATCCAGATGATCTCATTTGCCGGTAATCGTAATATGAGCAAAGATAGAAGCAAGGAGTTGCTTCTCATGTAAATTCTTCCTTTGGGGCACAGTCTGAGCAAATGAGAAAAATTTACTCCAAACAATACCCGCGCTCAGATATTGTTCACTTAGATAACAAAGAGAAGGGAATCATCACTGAAACAGATATCGTCCCAAAAACGTCCATCTGTAACAAAAACAATAAATTTATTTCATAAATTTCAGTGATAGCTCTTCCATATTTCTTTCTCACACAATAGCTGATCACGAAAACTATATTGCCAAGGAGCATCGAATACAATTTACCCAACGAGCAACTTATTCGATGAAGATTCATGCAAGGCGGGTATCAATACATTACGTTTCCTTGAGCATAAATGAAAAGAATTATTGTGAAAGAGTGCTAACACATATTAGTAGGATCAAAAATTAAATCCAGCGACAATATCCCAGAGAAATACAGGAATAGGGATATTTTTTCTTTTAAGTAACAGAAAATACTCCAGGATCCGAAGTCAATATGTGTCCAAAATATCTCATCAAAACAATCTCAACTGCGAGTATTGAGCAGTTAACAGAAACCATACCAATTGAAGCATGAAACTCAGCTCCGAAGACAACACGTCCCCCGGTCTGAATTTCGCCCTCCTACCAGAGTTTCATGAAACACACTGATAAGAAGACGGGTAAAGAGAAATCTTGAGAAATATATCACTACGTAGAAAAAACTGGAGAGATGCCACCTCCGGAAAGACTCCAAGGGAAACATTCACAATTCAACACACAAATTACAGTATGCTCCATGACAGGCAAAAAGAACTATTACCTCGTTATCAGGAGACATTGCCGTCTCGTCATGAGCGTAATCCACAATCGTGAGGGATCTCTTACTGCTTCTCTGAACTGCCACAGCGTCGGATATCGAAGCCTGCGGCGCGGGTTTCTGAGAATCCACGGTGGGAGGCCGAAACTGGAGCTTCCACGGGGGTGTACGTGTGGGCGTGAGGAGCCCGGGGCTCGCTAGGGCTTTTCGGCCCGAATCATCCTCTTGGAGGGCTGGAGTTCCAGACTGAGGAACCGGAGGGGTCTTCTCCGATCCAGAGTCAGGCCCCAATGCGGCACCATCCTCGGAGACCTTCAGGTCGCCTTCGCCCCCGTACCCAGCTTTTTCTTCTCCTCCGATCCCTTCTTCCTCCTCTCCTTCTCCCTCTCCCTCTCCCTCTCCCTCCTTCTCCTCCTTCTCCGTCTCCTCTTCCTCCTCCTCCTCCTCCTCCTCCTCCTCCTCCTCCTCCTCCTCTTCCTCGTCGTTATACACGGATAGAAGCGCGATGCCCTCCGTCCTAGACGCCATGGCAGGGACCTTGGAGCAGGATAGGAGGGCCAGTCCCCGGTGCTGCTCCTAGCCGCAACCTGCTGAAGACGAAGGGGAAACGAAGTTTCAGAGGGAAAAGGCAAAGTCCTGCTCTCCTCCCTTCATCACAAAAAAACTCCCATTAATATAAAATAATTCAAATTACCTCAGGAAAGTAATTTTTATTACTTAATTGCCCCTGTCCACAAATGGGCCGGACAGGTCGGTGAAAAACCCATCCAAGTCAACCCTCTTGGCCCTTCCAAGTCCATCATAATAGAAAATGACATAAATGCCCTTTTAAAAAGAAGCATTATAACCTCAGTCATAAATTTTAACCCAAAAAATTCTATGCGGTATAAAAATCCATTTATGAGTGGTAACTCTAAGAATAATTTTATGAATTATTATATTTCAATAATTTGCAAATAACATTACGAACCTCTTATAATGGTTAACCTGTGGACTGACACGTAGTACTCCTCCACTGCTGAGCGGGTAACTCTAAGAATAATTTTATGAATTATTATTTTAAATAATTCCCAACTGCTGTATACCTCCTTGTGACTGACACAAGGACCCATCACCTCATTTATAAATTCCTAATTTTTTATGTCAAACATTTCAAAAAAAAATGTGTAATATCAAATTTGGTGAATAGCAGCTCTAAGAATTATTATATTTTATAGAAATGGGGCGACCAATTTAAGATTATTTTGTTTTATTTTTTTACTAGTGAAAAGGTCTCACCGATTATTTAGTGGTAAATATCACGAGATCCGAGTGCTTTTTAGGGACTAATGGATAAGAAGAGATTATGCAGGGTGTTACTGGTAAACCACAAAGATTAAGAAATGATGAATGGTGGGCTGGGCCAGGGTTCAAAGAAAAGTTAAAGAAAATGGGCTCACCCTGGTGGACCTCCCCCTCCCCCCAAAAGAGTCCATGGTGTAGTGAGATTGAAAACCTTGGTGCAAGATTTTTTATATATTCTTTAATTTGATTAAACTTGTAGAAAAAGATGAAAATTATGCATGCAATCCCTATAAAAAGGGGTTTTCAACTCAAGAATAAAGAGGTGAGAGCTGATAAATATATATATATATATATATATAATAGAAAATTAAGTAAGAACATTGGGAAATTTTCAAAGGAGTAGGAATAAAGTTATATGAACATTTGGTTGATCTTCCTGCTAACAAAGGAGGGGTTGTTCGAAATATACATGTTAAATCACATTACACGTAATTTCTGTACTACACATTTGATCTATGTCATTCATTATATCAGTATATGTGATTAATGTTGGGTCTAGTCATGCATTATCGTGATAAAAGCCTTTTTAGTCATCTATTAGTATGGTGATGGACTAGATTGTTGGAATGCCCATGGTGATGATATCAATTTTAAGCTCATAAAGTTATGATATATTATATCAGGTTATCATATTTGTGTTGCCTAAATAGGAGATTGTTGAATTTGATCTGAATTTGGGCACTATCATTAAAATAATCCTTATATAAGGAAACTTATCATTAACATAATCCTGCTAAAGTTATTCATTAAGACTTAATGAGGGTTTATGACATTTCTGGTAAATATGGGTTAAATTTGTGCAGAAACCAGGTCATTTCCTAATTTCATGATGGACGAAATAAGAATTTGACACCTCAAGGCTAACCACCTTGAGGTTATATATACGGGTCAGGTCTTTGGATCACATTCGATGTTTGAGTTGCTTCTGAGGTATCCCATCACTTCAGAAGGTTCCAAGACTCCGGTGTGTTGATCCATAAAACCAAAACCCTAAGCTTGGATCTGAGGAGGACGAAATGGACTCATCTATTTTATTTCATTTCAATCTGTCCTCGTTCATAATCATTCTCCAGAACTCAGCACTAGATCTTGAAATTAATAGGCTACTTTAAATCAAAACAAAGGTCAGACAGAAATTCGATATCTCTTCCGTATGCTGCTTAAAGAAGCAAAAGAGCAGGTGAAAGAGGAGGAACAAAGACCAGATTTTTCTTGTTCATCGTGATCTTAAGGAGGAAAACAGTCAAAGCATAGATACTCATCGACGGAGCACACACCAACCCCTGCATAAGAGATGAATCCTCTACGAAAGAAAAGAAAAGCTTAAAGATTGGAGTCTGTTCATCATCTACATGCAAAGCTCCATCAGCAAGGAAATGGGTCTGTGATGTTACTAATCTAAGGTTAATGGCGATGCTGATGAGGCAGTCATGTGCATTGCTCGAGCATGCACCACAGCTGCATAATCAGGACTTATTTCTATAACTCAGTTCGGTACTCAGGGATGTATACGAAGCTCTCACAGAAATGAAGAAATGGGTCGTCGCAGACCACACGGGCTCCAAGATATATTTTTTCAGGTGAGATGTGATCTTGATGGGTGAAGCATTATTCCTAATATGGGCATTGTTGGGGCACCCTCCACTGATTCATAGTAGATTGGCCTCCAGAGAAGGAGGATCAGCAGTTAACTCACTCTGTCAATTAATAGAAATTTGTTGGAATCTCTCACAGCTATTCGAACGAGAGAAGTCTGATCATGGCAAACAGAAATGTAATGGCGGACGAAAGGCATTTATCGAGGTACCAATGCTGATTTCTATAAATGTACATGAATCTGAACATTGCGCAGGAACGGAAAACTTCCTCCAGTGAAGTGCCCGTAAAATTTATATATGCATTGATACAATTCGAGCTGATGATTACATGAAATCAAGTAATTCTAACCAGTCATCGAAACAACCATACCACCGTTGAAGGCCTCTGTTGCTAGAGCTCAACTGGGTAGTATGGGAGGAAGCTTCGTTATCCAGTAATGGCGGAAAGGGGAATGAACCAGATGAGGGGAGCTGGATTACCTGGTTCTAAGATTAGCCAGTAATGGCCGAAACGGAATGACCCAGACGAGGGGAACCAGATGGATTGCATACCCTCAAGCGGAAGATCCAGCTGCGGCTGGAATCGCCGCCTGCTTCGCCTCCAGGGACTTCTCGTACTCCTCGATCGACTTGAAGAGCTCAGAGAAGTTGCCCTTCCCAAATCCGCCGCAGCCTCCTTTCTGGTACTCCTTCCTCCCCTCCTCCTTCACCATGCACCCAATCCGCTGGATGATCTCCAGGAAGATCGTCGGCCTGCGGGATCATCAATCAGAGAGTAAGATCGGAGGAGGGAGATGGGGGAGGCTCGATCTTCCCTCAGTTAAACTACTCACCGGTCTCCGACGGGCTTGGTGAAGATCTGGAGCAGAACCCCCTGATCATCCCGGTCTACAAGAACTCCGAGCTCCTCGCAGGCCGCCATCTGCTCCTCCGTGAGGACGTCCGCCGCCCGCCGCCGCAGGTTGCGGTAGTAGGTGGCCGGCGGCGGCGGCATGAACTCGAATCCTCCTCCGCAGGCGGCTGCGGCGCGCATCTTCCGCAGCGTCGCCAGCACGTCGCCGCTGGAGAGCGCCAGGTGCTGGAGACCAGGGCCCTCGTTGTGGTCGAGGAAGGTCTGGATCTGGCTTCGCCGCTTGGTGCCATGGATAGGCTCGTTCAGCGGGAGCAAGACGTTCTCGTCGTTGCTGGCGAGGACGACGGAGTTGAGGCCGCTCTCTACGGTGCCGACGTCCTCCGCCGTGAACTCAGCAAACTCGTGGAAGCCGGTAAACCTCCGGATGTACGCCGCTGCCGGTGCCAGCTCCGGCACGTTGCCGACGGCATGGTCCAGACGCTTGATGCCGTAGTCCAGAGCGGGGGATGGCGGAGAAGTGTCCTCGAACCCCGGGAGGAACGACCACGGCCTCGATCCGGTGGCGGCGGAGACGCTGATGTAGCGAAGCACGACGTCTCCGTAGAGCTCAACCTCGGCGATCGCCGCTGCTCCGCCGCCGAGGGCCGCAGGGGGGAAGGAGGGGCGAGCGCCATTGGCGACGCTGATAGCGAAGGCCGAGGCCGCATCGTCGACGAGCAGCGCTACCGCACGAACACCGAGGCCGTGTGCATTGGAGAACCGCCGGCAGGCGGCGGAATCGAAGGAAGGGATAGCCGCCGCCGCCGCTGCCGCCGCCTCTGCGAACCCCTCGCGATCTGGGAGCACAGTGGCGATGGCAGCGGGGGAAGAGGAGTAGGGAGCGGAGAAGAGGAAGCGGAGGTCCCCGGACTGGAGAAGATAGGACGCGTGGACGGGGTTGCCGGTGGAGAGATCAGATCGGGCGGCGATCGCCATGCCGAGGCCGAAGGAGAAGCGGCGGGAGACGTTGGTGGCGTCGGCGCACCAGAACTCGACGTGGTGGAAACCCCTCACCGAAAACCTATCGCTGCGGGGGTTCTTCCGGACGAACTTCGAGTAGCCGACCAGCCGGAATTCCTCCTCCTCGCCGGCGCCGCCGTCGGCGACCTGCGGAGGCTTCACCTGGTGGCGGCCGTCACCCTCGACTCCGCCCATGGATGAGGAAGCTTTAAAGGAACAAGGGCGGCTGCGGGCGCGACGGAGTGAGGCGGCGGTGGGAGGAGGAAGAGGGAAGGGAAGGAGCAGAGGGCGAGGGACGAAGAGGAGCATGCGCGAAGAGGCGCCAGAAAGGGTTTGGGTGTCGGAGGAAGATGGTGAGACGTGTCGGGTAATGGTTCTGCCACGTGGATGGTGTCCCAATCTGCACGCCTCCGGTGCTCATTCGTCTAAGATGAAGAGGGTGAGGTTGACACGTCGGCTCCACGGGAAGGCAACTCCAGATGAGTCCGCGGCCGATCTGATCCGGGATTACAGGGAGAATCTCCTATCCCATAATTATTTAAATAATAGATTTTATACCATTTTAAGAGACCAAAATGAGCATAAAATGAAAGTAACTACTATCAAATGATTTTATAAATTACATTAAATATATTTACCTCTTTTGTCCATCCATAGTTTTTGTGTTGGTGCCTTGGATTGTGCATTCGATATCATGACACAATAGAAAGTCAACCGAGTTCTAACTCCATTGAGAAGCATTGACCTGTTCCCGGCATGCATGTTGTGGGATTATGAGTGATTTCTTTTCAATAAAATAATTTAATTAAATAAAACTCTTTTTTTAATAAAAGTGGGCTTGCTAATACGTCCGATCCATGGTGATATTTTCTTAAATTAATCTGATTATCTAAATTTACGATTCTCTTAAATTTCGTTTTTTAGCTATTATCCTAATTCATCCTAATATTATTATTGAAATGTTCTATAGAGATTTCGATGTGAATTTAAGTAAGTAGTAATTTCTACTAGGTCAAATGATAAGAAGCCAACAAGTCAAGGAACAAAAATCAAGTTTTATAAAATCTTTTTTCACCTGATTGATGCAAGAATACCTTCAACCTGAACCCAACATCTTTTCAAGAAAAGGACAACAAGAGCTAAGTCTCCATCATCATCATCCTCATTAAAAAATTTAAATGCACTCTAATTCAACACATTCTTCTCCATAAAATTGTAGTAATTTTTTTTTTTTATTTAGGTAAAATTCTGATGAAATCTTGATTGAATCACTCAAGATAATTAGTTGTGTAATCATTTGTTAGCTGCATGGAGCTATGAAATTAGAAAAAATTGACAAAAAATTATGTGAAATTAACTGTTGTGATTGATGGACAATTCTAATAAAGAAGTTGTTCTTCAAAAGTGATGTAAGTGTAGGTTTAAGAATTGAAGTAGAGAATTAGAGATCATTGAAATATTTAACTAAAGTCAAATATTACGTACATATCAATTCAGCCCTTTCTTCTTAACCTAAGTACAACTTATAATTATTTATATTAAAATATTTAAAGAAATACACATAAAGAATATAAAATCTATAACATTTTGGAAACTTAGAATCTTGATCCATCATTCATGCCATTAGAATTGTCTTTGAATAACCTTTCCAACAAGTAGTCACATGCCCAGGTTTTGCTACATGAATTTATATCTGAAATCGGTTTTCTCCTAAACTATTAATTTTGCAGACATTTTTGCCAATATCGAAATTCTGCTTTGGGTATTAAAAATTAAATCAAAACTTCAAGTGCTCAAAGCCCCTCTCTCATCATCAAAATTTCTTGGTAAATATAGTACACAAATATCATTAAACATCCTTTAAAGACACAAAATTTTGAGATAAATGAAGATAATAGGCATTGGCTTAGTTAACAGTAAAATAATTTTTTATGATAATCTAGTGGATTTATTATTTTTTGAGCTACATTATAAAACATTGGGTAAAATTATGTACAAAATGAGATAATGAAGCCCTCAATTTACAATTATTTAGCTGTAGCTCATTATACATCACATAAGTTACTAAAATCCCATAGTAACTTGAATAATTGTATTTACTTAAAAAGCAGTGAAATGTCAAGATTTTTTTCCCAAATTGCATTTATTTAAAAACATTTTTTCCCGCTTAACCACAGTTTCATGAATAAAATCGGTGACAATATTTCAACAAAAGCATGTCAAAAGTTGCAACATGAAGTGAGAAATGCATGAGAAATTATCTTCAGAAAATGATGTTAGTAGCAAATGTAGATTTTAATTGCACGCATCTGACTAGTAATTGTTTTTACGTAGATAGTAAGTTAGTATATTGAATAAAATAGTTGAGTATTAGCCAGTTTTAACAATGCTTAAATACATTTTCTAGAAATTGAACCAAATAAATTGATTAATTTCTAATAATGAGACATTCTAAGAGGGGCCTAAAGAAGCAAGTCAAAATGTGAGAGAGTCTTCTCTCTAGATTGAGATCATTATAGGGAAGGTAGGAGACAAATTTAGTAGTAAATATTGGGATCCTGAGAAGATAGTCGATGGGGTGTTAGAATGGGAAGGACGTGACAAGTGGCGTGAGAAAATCTATTGCCTCTACGGTAGCCACAAGGTAGAGCGCAAGAGAATCTGACGGCCCCACGAGGCCTATCCGCTCCACCCAATCATGACCTTCCAGCTCAGCAGCCTCTCTTCCCCTCCTCCCCACCTTATCTCAATCTCACTCTCTTTCTTCTCTTCCTCTCTGTCAGACCCCTCTCCTTCGTTCCACAGTTCCACCTTCACGCTAGGAAGAGAGAGAGAGAGAGAGACAGAGAGACAGAGACAGAGAGAAGGAGAGGGTGCGGCGGAGATGTCGAGCTTCACGACCACCACCCTCCCGAAGCCCATCGTCAAGTCAAGGCTGCGCTGCCAGCCGAAGATCAGGCCGGCCACAGTGTCCTGCTCCGCCATCCCCCCGCAGCAGGGGGATGCGGCGGCGGCGCCGCCCTCCTCCTCTCTGAAGGCCCTCTCCGCCGCGGTGGCCCTCTCCACCATCCTTCTCTCCACTCCCGTCCCCCCCGCCGCCGCCGATATCGCCGGCCTCACCCCATGCAAGGAGTCTAAGGCCTTCGCCAAGAGGGAGAAACAGGCCCTGAGGAAGCTGGAATCCTCCCTGAAGAAGTACGACCCAGATTCTGCACCGGCCCTCGCCATTAAAGCCACCATGGAGAGGACCAAGCGGCGGTTCGACAACTACGGCAAGTTTGGGCTTCTCTGCGGCTCCGATGGGCTGCCGCATCTGATCGTGAGCGGCGACCAGAGGCACTGGGGGGAGTTCATCACTCCGGGCTTGCTCTTCCTGTACATCGCCGGATGGATAGGGTGGGTGGGGAGGAGCTACCTCATCGCCATCCGCGACGAGAAGAAGCCGACCCAGAAGGAGATCATCATCGACGTCCCCCTCGCCTCCCGGCTGCTCTTCCGGGGCTTCATCTGGCCCGTCGCCGCCTACAGAGAGTACCTCAACGGCGACCTCATCGCCAAGGACGTGTAGTCTCTCTCTCTCTGAACCATCCTTCTTTCTAAATGCACCCTTTCGTCTGCGGAACTCCCAAGCCCCCGTCTTCTTCTTCTCTCTCTCTCTCTCTCTCTCTCGCGCTCTTGCTATCTCTATCTGTGTACTTATCTCCCTCTAGCTTGCGTCCGGCTGAATGTCTCTATAGATTCTTCTGCGGTTACACCAGGCCCCTCTCTCTCTCTTCTCGTCTGGGTGGACCCTCTCTCTATTGGACTGGATCGACGGTGCCCCATCTCGGCGGCCCCCTCTCTCTCAACCCGTTGCGGCAGCACTGGTAGCACATTCGTGCTCTCCTCTACTCGGCCACTCGTTGAGTCATGCCTTTCTCTGGCTCTGTAAGCCTTAGAGTCTGAATCCTCAATGCAGAGGAAAATGTTCCTTGAATGCACAGGGAACGAACTCGAGAATCTCCGAATCCACAGGGATATTTAAGGGTGATCTTCAGAGCCATTACCATAAGAAAACAAGACACCTCAAAGCTAAAACTGGTTCTCAAGTGCTCCAAGAGAGAGAAAAAGAGGGATAAAATTAATAGTTTTCGGCCCAATAAAACTATCAACCTAAAACTCATGCCACCTTTTATGGGAAAAATGCATTTGTCCATCCTAGAAAGAATAATATCTTATGAAGAAAAGTTCTAAAATTTAAATTTTCCTAGTTGATAAGTAGGAAATCAGTAACCCTATGGAAAACAACTGGGCGTTGGCATTATTAGTTACCTAAACAAGTCTATTAGGCTTTCCTTCATATTATATAGTGGAAACATCTAGGTTGCACCTCTTGGGATTTTTCTTTTCTTGCAGATCTAGTTTATGCCACTCTCATTTGCTTGAAAATGATTCATCATGTAGTTTTCATGGACATGGTTTAGGGTTGAGTCATTGACTATTTGTTCAATGAGGTGATTGTATCTTCGTACTAGAACTTTAACATGAAAGAAAGGATGATTTAAAAAATTTCATTATTTTGTAAGATTTTTTCCCTATAATAGTTTTAAACAAAAAAAATCTGTCACCAACCAAATGAGCTATTTTTTAGTTAATTTGATGGAAACCTTTTATTTTCGGCTGGACAAGCTGGTTTCATGTTTGATGGAATTGAGTTGTGATTGTCAAATGAATCTTTTTAAACACTATCATTGGTACCCATTTTAGAATCAGACTTTAGCTGAAACCTAGTTTTATTGGTTCTTAATACAAGAAAAAGTATAATACTTATCTTGGAATCTATGATTGGCATTTTCATGAGGGTCCAAACCATTTTCTTTAAAGAGTTCCTACCTCATAAAGGATGTCATCAACATAATTGTCTCTCTCATGTAAACAAGCCATCTTCATAATGGCAAGTCTTAGAGTTGAAACCCTGCTTTGAAAGCAATTGATGTAACGTAGGTCAAAGAGATTGAATGGGGTAACATTTGAAGCCTTAGAGTTAAAGGAATGATAGGGGTTAAACATGAATCTATAGGGTCAATAAGAAGAATCTTTGAAGCCAAAATGATTGATAGATGTAATCCTTGAATATATGAAGTTTGATAAGGCCTTTGAATCTCTCGGGGGGAGAGAGAATAGAGAGAGAGAGAGAGAGAGAGAGAGAGAGAGAGAGAGAGAGAGAGAGAGAGAGAGAGAGAGAGATTTGTAATGAGGAAGATATGCTTGACACTTTCTCTTAAAGGCCACACATCAGCTATCAAAGTTCAGTCTATGCCCATGCAGAAACCAAGACTCACTGCTCTACTTTTCATTCAAACCTTTAAATACACATTCAGAAACGTCCCCAAAACTCAATAATTTTTCTTGGGCCCACAGGAAAACTTTCACTAATTGTGCCAACATGGCCTTTAGTTGTAAGCCCTATGAAGATCTCTTCCCACCACATGCTCATCATAGTGCCTTATCTAGCCTTTTAACTTATTCAAGAACTCCTTCCCATTTGGATGACCAATCGGACACAAACTTGACCCCCTACCAACTACCTTGCATGAAAACGACAAGATTTTGTAGTAGTTTTTTATTGATTGTCAAACTTACAATAATCACCTTTTAAACCTCTGATGTGAAAGAAATACTTTAGATATTGTAAACTTGAACATAATGTTGGTAAGACTTGGGAATTCCGAACTAGCCATTGCATAGTATAATAGTGATTTTGAGTTTTTATACAGATTATCAATTTACTTAGATAGCAAGCGTTTTAAAGAAAGAAATATGTGCCTTAAATCATGTTGCACAGTTTTTTTGACATCATTTACTACTTAACAAGAAATTGTCTATGAGTTTTATCTACTTCTAGATGTTTTTCATCATAACATAAATCTGACCTCAAGTATCAACTATTTGGGATTCTACTCTATAAATCGTTAGGAATAAGGCTTTTATTGATCTACTATAGAAATACTTGAAGATCGTTTTTCAAAGACTTTCATTTTTGATTTCAGCCACACATTTATTTATCTTATTAATAACTGGTCAAATAGCTTGTCAATTGATCCCTATTTCCTTAACTACATTTTTTTTAACCATGATGTCTTTTCTAGCTTTGAAGTGCCTCACATATTTTGATGATGAAAAATTTTAATTTGTTGGTGCATGAATGATAATTTTATGTTATGTTAAATGCGTGATGTGACATAGATTAATTATATGATTGAAGTTGGTGATAACCTCTCTAGGGTAAAATGGTTCATTGTCGTTAGCAAATGCATAGGCTTTCTTAGGCAAGAATGTTCATCAATAGGTCGCTGAAGTCATATAGCCCAATCTGGAGACTTGTTGAGTGCTGTATATTCAGCAAAGGTTTGCTGAAATCTAGATTCAACATGTTTTACTCATAAATTAGTGAAATAATGAATTTGTCCTTGGAGACTGGAGAAGGTTTGATTGACGGAACAACTCTAAATTCTTGTGTGTGAATCTTTCTTGTTATGCCCTTATTGATTGGAAAGAAGTCAGAAAAGTCTAATTCACATTTCCAAAGTGCAATCATCTGTCTTTGAGATGGTCTTTAGATAATTTTTGTGACAATTTTTAGGAAAAATGTGTATATTTTCTCTGTCATGTTTGGTTGTGTCCACATTAAATTTCCAGTGCCTAAAAAACCCCATTTTTTCACACCTCAACTAGTATTTGTTAGTATTTGTTGTTGTAGATTTCAATGAAATATTTACTACAGAATTTCAATGATATCTAGAGAGCATCAGATTATCTGTTTTCCCATTTGGAATGTATAAAGTGCCAATTTTTTGATATTTTAGATTGGTTCATCATCTTCTCTATTCGGTTGTCAACATATTATGCCATAATTTTGACATCAAGTTTGAAGAGTATCTGTAGGGCCTGATTTTCCTCAATATCCCTTATGAAGCCTCAAATAAAAGGTAAAATCATAAAACATGTGTTTAGATAAATTATATAGTATTATATAATAATTTTTCAATTCTGCACTAGGATTGTTATAGTTGGGATAAAAATTTTCTTAAAAAATTGGGCCTAATTTTTCCAACATCTCACATTGAATTTTGAGTATCCTAATTACACATGATTTCTCACTTTAAAAAAGATCTAGGATATGAGATTGATGATAAATCAACCTTAGGTTCACAATTTAAACTTAAATGATATAATAATGGCTTTGAGTTGGCCGAATCAATACTAGAAAAGTTAATGGTTTGATCTAGAAATTTTACAAACATGTATTATCCACAAACCTGAAAAACAAGCAGCGGGAACCTTTAAAGGTCATTAGGGCTTCCCTAGTAAATGGGTTACCAAGATTTACTTCAAAAACACATGAAATCTGGAATTCACATTCACGAATTCAAAATCCATTCAGACCCTTATAATTAACAATGTGCTATAGATCAGAAGTGTGTCAGATTCTACATCCATTCAAGGGTTCAATGTCACTACTCTTGGTAATTATTTCATTTAGAATCTGAATACGTTGTCCTAGAGACTTACTAGCTGTTTAATACTATAGCATGCACTAAGACAAGGAAAAGATGATAAGGTTTCCAACACACTTTAGCCTCATGCTCTTTTAGCAGATTTCCTGCCTATGGTCTTATTAATGGATAAAACCATGTAGATTTAGCATGTGGAAAGATCACTAGTTTTCTATGCCAAATTGTTAATAAATTCTTGTGCACACAGAGAGACTTTGACACCAATATATCTTACATTGATTTAGGATTCAATAAGTTAATTTCATATCTTGCTTGTACCATAGGTAAGCTTTGGTGTGTACATATCACTCTAGACTAATATATTGGTAACTAATAGCACTCTATAAGCTAATAATTGTCTTAATAGAGACATTTTCCTGTACCTAAATGTTGTCTTTAGTAGTTGGCAGGACAAAAAAAATGTTGACATTTATTGCACACTATTGGATATGTTTGTGTTCTTCTAAAGTTCTATGCATGTTTTTTTTCCTTGTTTGTGTGAGTAACAACAAATGCCTAAAATAGCCTTAAATTTTGGGTACAAATTGACTTGATTACACCAGTACATTTTCATAAAACCTACATTATAGTTGACAGAAGCTTATTACCTTATTCTCCATCCCTTTGTACATTATTGCACCCACTTTGTGGACCAAAAATCAGTCTCTCCATCTATAAAAGAATCTACCTTCCAATACCTTCCAATACCAACTCTCACCAACTAAGATTCTCAGCCTTATGGTCATGTTACCCCGTTTTTTTTATGCTTCTTGCCAATGTGTGATCGCTCCTCTGCTTTCCCTTTGCTTATCTCGCTCTCTTTGGTTTCAAATGGATTAAACGAGGAAGCACGAAGTGGACACATGGAACGAGTTATGGGAGACAATTAAGGCTGTTTTGAAAGAATTCCATCCATAGAAGCATACTAGATTCAACAGTCCTTTTCTAGTGATTAAGGCTGAATTAACTTATCCCTTAGATTCCTCATCCTTCTGTGCGATTGTACACCTCGTACCACATGGGATCTAATCCCTTAGACCTTATCTAACCCGAATCTGAAGCTGCTGAAGCAATTAATTAGCTTTCGGTCGTACTTGACCCAAGTTCAGCGAACCAAACACTGTTGCCTAAATCTAGCTACTACAGCAACATGGAGTAAATCGGTACATTGAAAGCTATGTTTTTCGGCCTCCTCTCTCTCTCTCTCTCTCTCTCTCTCTCTCTCTCTCTCTCTCTCGCTAGCGCGCCCATCGTACTTATTTTGTTCGGCTGTAGGAGATAAGCCTTCGGTCTGTCCCCAGGAGTTGTCCTCCCACCACAAGTCTCATTAGCCGTCAGATCCCAGCACGTTCGACGATCTTTTTATCATGGACCAGTGGGGAAGATGACTGACGCACCACCTACCGTCCGCTTATCTATCCAGAACGTAATGGGAAACCGGATTAAGACGTAAGACAAGATCCACATAGGGAGGCCCATCTAACATCTCTACTATTTTTCCGGTGTTGGCTACTAATCCGGATTTTAGAATTTCTCCGTCGATTTTCATGTTACGCCAAATATAAATATTACCCAGTAAATAGTTTTTTTTTAAAAAGGATTTTGTGTCTCAGCAGCCCTGGGAAATACGACCGATGGTGAGTTTCTTCTTTGGATTTGACCTTTCATAGTTAGGAAAAAGTCAAACCCAGGATAGATGTTCTGCGGTATGTGGTCTGGAAAGTCATGCCAAGCTTTTATCTTCGATGAGCAACCTCCGCCTCCAGGTTTGACTTCCTTTACCTATAAACGACAGAGTCGGTGGGCTGTCAACATAAATTGGAGCCCACGTGGCCCGAGTCTGGACTTCACCGCCCACCGACCGACCGACTCCGCAATTAGCCCACCTTCGGAAAGTTGGCCCGTTCCGTTCCAGGCTGTTCACCGAGTCAGACCGCTTTGAGCGACACGTAGTTGGGTGACCCGCCTCATCCTATTAAATTGAGCCAAGCCCCTCCGATCTCTCAGAGACCGGAAAAGCTAGGATCTAGAGCCAGAGCGAGAGAGAAAGAGGGCCGGGGGAGAAAGGAGGAGAGATGGCTTCTGGTCTGAGGGCGCCAGCGTTCATCCTGCTCCTGGTATTCTTGGGGGTCTTCGCAGCCACAGAAGCGAGCAGCATCCCTGCGTCTGCGGATGTTTTGCTCTCTGGGATTTCTGGCGGCCGCTGCAACGGCTCGATCGCGGAGTGCCTTGGCGGAGGCGAGTTCGAGATGGGTTCCGAGGTGAGCAGGAGGATCCTGCAGTCCAACAACTACATAAGCAACCGCGCCGTGACACGGAACAATCGACCGGCGTCTTCTTCGGCAAGTTCAGGCCAACGCTACACCTCTGGTTGCAGCACCTACAATAGATGCAAGCGGTAATAGGCTGCTGTGGACTTGTTTCTGGAAGGTGCTTTACTCTCATAAATGTTCGTAGTACCTTCCAAGTCCAACGGTGTGGAGCTCCGGGGGGGGGGGGGGGAGCAGGCGCCGGGGGCCTCGATCTGCCGTAGGGGGTCAAAAGGGCCGGTGTGAAGATAAAGACCCTCTTACTCTTATGCATCCTTTCCGTGAATAAGCAACAGTCTGCGCTTGGTATGGAGAGGTGGCTCCCCCATTCTGTGTGAGACTCGGAGTTCCACTCCACCACAGGGTTTTCACGGCGCGACCGACTAGGGCTGGAGATCTGCTCAGTTCTCATGCCAAAGCTCGGATCTGGCTTGGGTTCCCCGCCCTCCTAACCATCTTGGTGGATGGAGGCAGCTGCCCTAACCTACGCGGATCTTTGAAGTTAAACGGCTGAAATTAGTCACTCTAATTGGTAATTTCGGGGCATTGTTGCAGGATGTTCTTTTGCCTAGTGATGCTATATCCCTAACTCCCATCTTTACACTTGAATCAACTCCATTTTTAGAGGAAGTGAATAACAAAAGAAATTAGAAAAAAATAATCTTAAAAATTCAACATTAAAACTAAAAATGCTTCAAAAGCCAACTAGGGAGAGATCAGGGAAAGGATCATGTTCGCAGGTGCCCACATCCTTCTCTGATATTGGGTCTGCCACCACTCGCCCCTTTTGTTTGATGAAGAAGTAGATTGGCTAATCACCTTCATAATGATCAATGATCTAGTAAATTTGGTCTTTATGTAGTGTTTAGAAAATCAGTGGCACACTTTGTAGCTTGTTGCAAGTTTGATCCTTGATGTTTTCAATGTATACCATCAAGAAGGAGCTGTGGAAGATTTGGCAGATTGCAAACCATTTTGGCACGTGTAATCATTAGGTCAGCCTACTCGTGTCACAATCACAAGAGTTGTATCTCAATGCAGCATGTCAACTTGAGCTGATTCCAAAATACATTTTTGGGTCCATTTTTAGCATTATTCGGCATCAACCTAGTTCATTTTGAGCATTCCAAGGTACACCTTTGCCGAGTTTAAATAGGGCAATCATGAAAAAACAGAGAAATTGCAACCAAATGCAAAGGATTTCTGTATTTCTGTCATAAGCCCGGTAAAGAAGCTCTAGCGTTGTCTGCATAAGATTAGTCAGTAGAGCATTATTTTGGACTTCTCAGGATTCTGAAGGGCGCGCGGACTATGCAATAACCTTTTCCCTCTCAGGTCATCCCGTCCGGATCGATCAGTTTGGATGGCGGTTTCTTATCGAAGATTTCCAATTAAAATAAACGTAATTCTAAAAATAATCCCTGAAAATTCTTATTTTCTTTCTGGTTAAGACATAAGAGTACGTCCGTTTAGGCGGCGTCATCTAGCCTCTCACTATTTTTCAGTAGTCCACTACAATTCGGCATTTTTAGACAAAACGAGATTTTGTCTCTCAACTCAACGTGCCAGGAAAATACTACTAATGACGAGTTTCTTCTCTGGGTTTGAGCTCTTTCGCTTATGAAAAGGTCAAAACCCTGGGTAAAGGTTCAGCGGTTTACTGCTCTGGAACGTCGGATCAAGGTTCCGACACTTCCAGCGAGCAAACTCCCCATCCAGTTTGACATTTTTTGCCAAATGTAATAGAGGTTCGGAGCGCCGTTAACATCCCGGAAATTTAAATTGGACATGTCTTCTCGAGGCCACGGCAATCTAGTTCACGTGGATCGGATGAGGTTTGACTCTTGACTTAGCACCACCCACCAGCTCACCGACTCCGCGGTTTGGCTATCTTGGGAAATTTCGACCGTGCGTGACAGTTGGCAGAATTCATGATCACGAGATTATCTTTTACTTGCAGGTAGCTATAATATCTGAATTGCAGACGAGCTCTTGTTTCTATCTGCTTATCTATGTAATAAAATAATTCACTCTCTCGAACTGGACGTGTTGGGGTGACCCGCCTCATCGTATTAAAGAGACCCAAGCTCTTCAGATCACTCACAGACAGAGAGAGAGAGAGAGAGAGAGAGAGGGGGGGCTTCTTCGGCACGTTCAGGCCAACGCTACACCGTTGGTTGCCAAAACTACCAAAGGCGCAAGCGGTAATAAGCCGGTAAGAATATGATTAGGAAGGTGCTTTACTCTCATAAATGTTCCTAGCCCCTTCGAGTCCAATGGTGGAGCTCCAAGGGGAGGGGGGGGGAGCCGACGGCGGAGGCCTCGATCTACCTCAGGTGGTCCCACGGGTTGGTGTGAAGATACAGACCCTCTTATACTCTGATGTATCCTGTCTGTAAATAAGCAGCAGTCTGTGCCTTGACAATTGAGAGATGGCTCCCCCATTCCCTACGATACTCGAAGTTCCACCACCGCGGGGTTCTAAATGCGTAGCGCTTCCGATAAGTGAGAATCTCCATCCTGCGATCGTTTAGGGTCGTAATCTGCCCAGTACTGATGCAAAAACTCGGATTTGGCTTGACCTCCCTCCATCCACCGTCCCATAACCTACGTGGATCTTTGCACTTAAGACGATTGAAATTATTCACTCTAATTAGTAGTTTCGGGGTATTGTTGTAGGTTGTCTTGTTCTTATTTTGCCTGGTGATGGTATATCTTTAACTCCCTTCTTTACGCTTGAGCCAACTCTGTTCTTTTTCGGACGAAGTGAATACAAAAGAAATTGCAAAAGAGAAGCCATAAAAATTCAAGGCTCCAACATTAAAACTAAAAACTCTCCAAAAGCGAACTAGAGAGAGATCATGGAAAGGATCATGTTGGTAGATACCCACATCCCCCTCCCACGTTAGGTCGTCCATCCCTCACCCCTTTTTTTTGATGAGGAAGTAGATCGGTTAATCATCTTCATGATAATCATCTTGATTGTTAAATCAATGGTCTAACAAGTTTGGTCATTATATATTATGCAAAAAATCAATGGTACACATTATAGTTTGTTGCAAGTTTTATCCTTGATGTTATCAGTATCTACCTTCAAGACGGCTGTGGAAGATTTGGTAGATTGCTGGCGATTTTGGCACGTGAAATCAATAGGCATTGCACTTACCGGTATCATAGTCACAGATGGCATATCCTAATACAGCACAAGCCACTTGGATAATTTGCTCAAGTTGTTTCCGAAGTACATTTTTGGGTTCATTTTGAGCATTAATCAGCAACCAACCTTGTTCATTTTGAGCATTCCAAGATACACCTCCTTGTCTATCACTATGTTGCTCAAAATAATATGTTCTTACTATGTATACTTCAAAAGAGAACACTTTGAATTAGAATGTTCAATCTAGATCTTACTTGAGAAGGCATATTAAATACATTCTAGATGCTCTTTTCCACTTATCTCAAATACTTCAAATTTACCATTTTTTTCTATGAAAGCAATGAGGATGAAAAAAGTGGACAAGTGGAAGAAGAAGCTGAAGGGTCTGTCTTGACATTGTCAAGTACATTCATAACCTAAAATATTTTCTCTTTATTACTTCAACCATCATTCAAGGATGAATTTCTTATAAGATTTAAGGCTGTACTTAGATCAAGGAGGAATTGAGGTTATCTTATCCTAATTTAATTTTCATGAACTATTCAAAATTTCTTGATTTTTTATCTTAAATTCTCACAGTTTTTCTAGATATAATTTTTTTAGCACTCCAAGATTTTTATAGATGATTGTATGTATTCCTAGGTCCAAGAACAACTAGTTTTTGGATTCCACTAAACAGAACATTTACTCAAAAATCACTAATAATCAGTCTAAACTTGCACATAATTTCCCCAAAAAAATATTTTATATTCACAGCTCTAGGTCGCCCAAAGCTGATTATAGATGTCAATGGTTTTAAGTTATTAAGCTAAGGCTAATCCCAGGTTCATTATGCATGATTTTAGGCCACACTTGGATCCAAATAGATGGGGTGGGTTATAATTGATCAGTTGGTATTTTTCACATTGGTCAATTATTATTAATATTTTTTTTATCTCTTTTCCCTACTCATAAATCATATGATTTGAGATATTTAAATTTAGAGGACTCAATGGTTTTTATAAGGGTTGAGCCCTCTGCCAAAGTTTAATCTCCATTAATATCTTATTTTTGGGTTCCACTAAAGATTCCATTTTGTAATATAATTGTTGATTTTGTAACTCAGATTTAATGAAAATCTATTTCAAGTTAAGCCTTCATAGAATTTCAGCTTGAAATTTCTTCATGACTTATTACTCAATGAGGTCTATCACTAATTATAGATATCTGTTAATGTATTAAATGCATAATATTTTAATAATGACAACTATAAATAAGATTAATTAATAAATAAAATTATACTTAAGTGTCCATAAATTTGATTGATGAATAAATAGTTTTTATGCATGAAGTTGAATGTAATTGAGCATAAATTGAAGAAGAATTTAAAATAATCATAAAAATATTTTAATAGGAATGCAAGAAATGTATGTGAAACCCATAAATTTGAATTTGGTGAATTGTATCATAGAATGTGACAATGTACTTTAAATTCATCTTTCGTTTGAAGAATACATCAAAGAATGTTTTTATCATCGTCCTCTATTGAATTTCATGATGTACTATAAGTTAATGTCTTTTTATAGGAAATATTCATAGTAAAATATTTATTTATTTTATGTGGGTTTTCCATTAATTTTTTATTTAATCACTCTAAAGAGTTGAGCCTTATAATAAATTTTGAGTTTTAAAGTTGTGAATCTAGAAGAGAATTTCAAGTTGAAATTCTTTAGGAGATGAGACCAATAATGAGCAGTTGTGAGTATTGAATGATTGGTCTAGTGAAATCTAAAGGCTAAGATGTTCTAGGAGACCACACATCAATATGGGGCTAAAAGATTTCAAAAATACTAGAGCATTTTATATTTAGAACCCATTAAGGCTGGATATTAGGATAAGAACATATGATTGAGAATCTTATATTAGTTGACCAAAGTCAAAAAATTAGGATCTGATTCGACCTTTTCTTCTTGATCTAAGTACATCCTAAAATCAAATAGTGTAAACATTCTAGAGGGGTTAAATGAAGATTTAATCACATGTTTTTTCATACAAGTAAGAGTTTCACTGAGGGGTTATTTCCAATCATTAGTGTAGACTTAAGGGACTCCCCTAATTTTATGAAAAAGATATCAAACTAGGTGCGATTTTTGTTCTCTTCTTTTTGAAGCTGATTGAATTTGGAAGATATTGACACTTTAATAAGCTCAAAGATGATTGACTTTTTATCAATCCTTTATCACCAACTTGTCATCATCATGGCATTTAACAAAGTTCTAAGCATGATTCAAATTCAGATGTATTTCTCTATATTTATTTTAGAAGGATTGTTGCAATAGTAAGAAGGTCATTGACATGACTTGATTGTTGTTTAATAAATCATGTAAATTAAAAATTTATAAAACTAGAAAATACTAATTTTTAGATTTTTTAGAAATATTTAAGCATAAATAATCAATTATAATTTGCCAAAATATTTCAAAAATAATGAGAAATTTTTGAGTCAATCATAGAGATGTAAGATAATATATGACAATTTTCAAACTTTTCCTCAAAGAAGATTTTTTATGATTTTTAGACTAAATGATAAAGATAACATATATTTAAAAATTTACAAAAAAATAAAATTCAAGTTTAGATGTCACAATGATGTCAATGCTCCAACAAAGACAAGTTGGGTGGAAATAGAGTTTTACTAAGATGAGTTTTACATAAATGATTACAAATGAGTTAAATGATCAAATTAAGATCTGTAAAAGTAAGAAGATTTGTTATTGAATGAAAAAGATTTTTGAAAATGTGAAATCATATGAAATCTTAGTAATTTAAGTAAAAATTAAATTTAAAGTAGGAATGAGGGAGTTTTGTTTTATGATAGTGATTGCTGAAATTTTGTGTGTTTGGAAATATTATCATATAATGTCTATGCACTTAAAGGCTTTATTTGGATAGAGATAATGTGAACAATCTTTAGATCTTATTGTGAACTTTAAAAATTAATAAAATAGTTCTAGAATTTATCTCTAGTAGCTATTATCCAACGGAATGTAAATACAACGATTGTCACTTGGTGGAGATAAGTTGAATTGAGGTGGGGCATGTCTTAAGAAGCTTCATCTTTAGGTGTGCACAGCAAGAGGAGGCTCTTCATCACATTGGGTACTCTTTGAAGAGGTGGTGACGTCTCCTAGGAAATCATCTTCTTTCTAATGATGACTTATTTGTTGATTAATTGAAGATTGTTTCTTCAATAAATTTGTGATCTTTTTATTCAGAATCATTCGACAATTGATAACAATACTCCATAAATTATGTTGATGATAATTTCATTAATGATTGAGTGATTCTAGTGATTTAATCAATGATCGACTCTTTTTAGGAAAATCATGATTTAATCAAATAAAAATATGAGTTTTGATTTTTGTGTGATTTGAACCTTCATTGGTTGCTTAGCTGCATGAGAGAGAGAATATAAATTATCCACATACCTTTATCTAGTGACATCATGGAGTCATTTCCTTCCTATAAGCTAAGGACATTTTTAAATATTAAAATCAATAAAGATATGCCGTTGAGTACCAACATGAGTTTAGTCTCATATTGGTTTTTTTCTAAGTTTTGAGATAAATGTATAGTAATACTTTTTTTATCTTCAATGTAGCCCTCTCACGAGTATACGATCACTCCTTGCCCCATGTTTGGTCGGCCACATTTGATGTGGAAGTGGAGGATGCACATGTCTCCAATCAGTCAACCACTCGAGCCCCTTGTTCATGGCTTCGTCTAATTGTGCTTCAGACCTACTTGCTAGCCTGGTTGACTAGTGGGTCCCCTTTTTTATATATATCTTTATTTTATTTTATTTTTCTTCATGTTATCTCAAAAACATGATTATAATTTTTTTATAAATTCATATAAAATCACATAACTAGTCGAGAATTCACATTAACCAATTAAAAATCCTTTTCTCACTTTAACATAAATATAAGTATATTTATTAATGAGTTAAGGCTTAAAATATATTATTAATTAATTAGTAACCTATGATAGTGAATAGTTATCAATCATCGATCATCATTAAAAAATAATTAGATGTTGGAGAGAGGCTCAGTTTGTAAAGAAAATTGGTTGGAAAGCTTTCCATATACTTTGTTTCATTTCTCAATGTTAAAAGTCTAAAACTAGTTAGAATATTTAATGACCATAAGCCAATATGTGTGTTTTTTAACGGTTCACGTATATTACAATGGAAACCAATACATGTAGAGTTGATGCCCTTGGGCATAGATTTTGATATTACAATTATATGAGAAAATATATAATTCATGTTTGATATTGTTTACAAGATTATCATAAATGCCTCATAGATTTCATGCATATAAATTTATTATTTATTTTGTGACATTATGGCTAACCTTGAGATTAAGTGAATTGATGAATAGGTGGAGCGCCACATATATATGGATAAATATTTGTTGGAAAACAAATATTTAATAGGTAAATGATGGTTATGTTTTTAGTTCATTTATCCATGATTATTTAACCATTTAAGTGCAGCTATTATTTATTAGTCACGTGCATCATTAAAAGAAAAAGAAAACGGTTCGAAATATCAAATGAGCTCTTGTGAGTCTCGAACCGGAAATCTGGACGATGGCACGTCCGTTGTTTACGTGGAGAAAATGACCAGCTTAACGTTCGAATCTGATGACGAAGTAAAGTAAAGTTGTTCGTCTGGGAGAGAAAAATCTCCTGTTCAAATTTCAAATAGAACGAACCAGAGAATAGAAAGATATTGAATTCGCAATGGTCAGAATCGTTGCCGCGCGTTCCGGAAAACGGTGAGTATTTGAACTGACTTTCCGATTTTATCTCTTGAGCAAAATGCAGAAATCCGCTGGAGGACGACGCCCTACAAGCTGGGGAGATCAACTACAACGATTCCACTTCGATCTACTACGAGTTATCTCTCTCACGATCAAGAATCATCACCGCCGAGCTTCAACCGCGAGCAGACTGCATCATCCTTCTTCATCAACGATTGGTGATCAAGATAAAGCTTGAATCTTTTACGGAGGCTCTCCATTAGGCCCTAAGGTACCTGGGTAGTGAGTGGAGAGTGATTTTGGGCAGAGGCACTAGGTGCTCTAAGCCCTGTTTGGCCCTGAAGGGGCTGGATCTCTGCAGAGGTCAAACCTGAGGTATTGGGCTGTTGATCCCATTAATTTCAGTGTATATTTCCGAAGTAAATAGTGAAATACCGGTAGGAAGGATCCTCCGGAACTGAAAGTAACCAGGTGAGGGGCGAACCAATATAAAAAGTTCTTGTCTCATAGTGAGAACCCACTAGAGGAGAGAGAAAGCAATCCTGTATGTAGATAATCACGCAAAGCTGTGTTAACACATCTACTATCCAATAAGAAAATCTGAGATTTTTAAAATACCAATTCACCGTCCCTCTTGGTATTTTGCCTAGCCTTTAGATCTTTCATGTAGTTGCTATGGACCCATCTCTATCCAACCTTTATTAATTCAAATGAGTCTTGTAAGAATTAATTATCATTAAGACACAACCAAGTAAAAATTTCAAAATAAAGTAATAATTATGCCATCGAAATTAATAAAAATTGTCTCAAATAAATTATGAATGTCAAATAGAGAAATTCAATCATGATCTTTGTATTAACAATCATTAATTTGGTGGCTTATGATAATTCATAATTATTTTAGTTAATATTTTTTAATACTATAAAAATTCTTAGTTCTTGTGTTAATGATTCTGGTTCAATTGAATATTCTGGTATTAGAAATAAACAAAAGTAACAATTTAGTTTTAGGAACACAATATGGGTTATAGTTTCATATCAATATGCTCATCCTTACTTTCCGTTAATAGTGGCATGTACAGATATTATTACTATCTATAATTATAACCAAAATAATCATCTTGAGTAGTAAAGTTCCAAAAGTATCAAAATTTAAGAGCATTAGGCTAAATACATTCCTTAGATTCTCATTAATATTTATGCTTATGTTTGAAGGAATGTATTTACAGATATATATTGTTTAAAAAGTAATCACAATAATTAGATTTATTTACATGTTGTTTTCATCATCAAAAAATATTTAATTAATATTTCAACATATCCCTCACAAGACAAATAAAATATCACTCTAGAGTTATTTTGTATTTAATGAAGGGTTTTGAACAACATCTAGAAAATTGATGAAGTGTAAGATGAATTTCACTCGATTTTCATTTTGATCTACATGTGGGTGCTTTCTCATCTTTAAGGAGGTTCTCAATGAATTCAAGTAGGTGGAGATGATGTTTGGATCAAATTTCACTCCTCAATTTATTGTACTAACATTGTCTGACCAAGCCTCAAAGAATGGTCACATTCTCACAATTTTTTTTAATAGATTATTAAGGAGTTCAAAAACATGAAGAGATCACATATGATAAAGCTAATAGAGAGCCCCCTAAGTAGGTGAGTCATCCTTGCCTACTCCATTCGTATGAGCTGCAAGGCACCCTCTACCCCAATGTGCTACAAGACACTATGACACAGCTCTGAACAATGTGTCACGAGGCACTCTTGTGCCAACATGCAGTGAGGCATCACACTAACTCATTCCGCGAGGTACCTAGCTCTGACCAGCATGTGACAAGACACCTCCTGTGTAAACCTGCTACGAGGCACCACAGCAACTCGTTCCACGAGGCACCTAGCTCTGATCAACATGCTGCAAGGCACCCCCTGCACCAACGTGTCCTAAGGTACCACACCAACTCTTCCCACAAGGCACCTAGCTCTAACCAATGTGCCATGAGGCACCACACCAACTCATTCCATGAGGCACTCAGCTTTGACTAACACATTGCGAGGCACCACACCAGCTCGTATCATAAGGTACCCAGCTCTTACCAACATGCTATGACACTCCACTCTGAACCAAGTGCAGTATGACACCCTACTCTAACTAAGTGGTGAGAGGCACCCCATCTCAAAGATATGATGTGATGTTCAAGTACTTGGGCGAGTTAAGTACTAGGAAGGTGACCTCTGAAAAGTTTGCCCAAAGAATGGTTAGAAAGAAATATTGTGCATCCTATAAAAATTTAGATATCTTCTACGATTGAGCTAATAAACATATCCATTAAATATTAATGTATATATCTGAGGCTAACAGCTCTGACATACTAGACAAGGATCCATTATTGTTAAAGTAGAATGGTAAGCACAACTTATTAAAGTCGAATGGTGGAGCTGCGGTCGGCGGCCTCTATCTGTCGCAAACGCGCCGGTGAGCCCCCCTTACTCTTGTGCATCCTTTCCAGGAATAAGCAGCAGTCCGTGCCTTGTTGTGGAGAGATGACTCCGTCATTCTGTGTGAGACTCGGAGTTCCACTCCACCACGGGGTTCTCACGGCGTAGCGCCGCCGATGAGTGAGAATCTTCGTCATGCGATCGCTTAGGGCCGTAGATCTGCCCATTACTTTATCCAAAAGCTTGGATTTGGCCTGGGTTCCCACTCTTCGAACTATCTTTGTAGATGGATGGTGCTGGGTAGAGGGAGTTACCCTTAACTACAAGGATCTTTGAACTTTTAGCCCCGATTGCTAGATCAGATGCCTAGTTTTATTACCAAAAGTATAATCAGAGAAATTTTCTCGAATGAAAAGTAAAAATCACAAATTTAAGAAGTTTTGAATTTATTTAATGTAAAATGTTTCAATCTCAAAAATGTACCGGTGGGCAGAGTACGTTGGGGAATTCAGCTAGCTCGACTTTTGCTCGGGTGTCGCCATGCACACGTATGATTTGGGCCGAACCAAGTTCATAGTCTGGGTGTTTATGAATGGTAGACTTCGCTGTGGATCCCATCCTTTCTCTGCCTCTCTCTCAGTCTCGGCGTCCACCCCCCCACCCCCCTAACCCAGGTCCGAACCTCCGTCTTTTCCGTCGTCTCCGGCTTCCGCCCCTCCACAGCCCTTGAAGGGGGGAGAGCGAGAGCGAGAGCGGGAAACAGACAGACACAGACGGACAGACAGACGGAGACAGAGACAGAAAGACAGAGAGACGGAGAGACAGAGAGGGAAAGAGAGAGATGCGTTTTGGGTTCAGACCTCGTTCTGCACCCATCTGTAGGTAACCTTGGTGGTCATTGCCGCCGTTGCAGCGGCTAGCTCGGGCGAAGTCCCCGTGTCGCAGGCGGGGGCCTTCCGATCACATTGGCTGGCGCCACGTCCGGCCACTACAGCGGTTCCATTAATGAGTGCCTCGCCAAAGGGGAAAGATTCCAGGCGGGCTCCAAGGTGAGCCAAAGGGTTGATTCGCATTAATACCCTTCTGGAGGTTGGTGGTGAGGCACTCACGTGGACTCGTCCAACCGAGCCTCGAGGCAACGACGCAAGGAAGTTAAGACGAAGATGTCGACATAAAAGAGAGCTTTTATGCTTTCTCTGGTCTCCCACAGTCAGTTCCATCTGCCACCCTTCTCACATTTCTAAAGCTGGGTTCCCAATGGCCCTTCTTCCCTTCTTCCCTTCCTCAGTGGCCCCCATCCTCCCCGTCCCGCTTCTCCTCACCTCCTTTCTTCCTTAGTCCGGCTACCCCGGTTGCCCAAGGGACAGGAAGGACTGAGAGGAGTGGGAGTAGTCATCTTTTCAACTTCACTTTCCAAAGTGTGGCTACTGCCCACTTCAATTTCCTTTTTCCTTGGTGCTCTCCAGTTGTCTATAGCACACGACAATTCCCTATCTAGCTGTGTCCTACTATCCGGTCTTCCACATTCTCATAGTATCTTCCCTTCCGCATCGTCCACTACTTCCCTTCACCTTCCCAAACCAACTCTCCTCTTAAAAGTATCAATTCATTCAAATGCCACTTTGTTAGAAAGTAAGAAAAAAAGCATTCACAATATGTATGATATATATTTGTCCTATTTTCTAGTTAAAAATGAGAAAATGAACAGACATTTAAACGACCTTTCAACAAACCTATATATTTGAAATAAATAAAAATTAAATATTAATTAATAAGAAGTAATTGAATGGAAGAGCATATATTGCCTTAGTCATCAACAGTGAAGAGCGTAGATCTAAGAATTTCATCATAAATTTTTAATTAGTAAATATTCGAAAATAAAGTTAAGGTAACAACAAGAATGAATGAATGTTAGAACTATTCTCTATAAGGGTATACAAACCGAAGCTCGAATGAGGGTACTTAATGGTAACTTTTCTCTAAATTGTAACTTTTCTCTAAAGGAAGGTAGAAGTATACAATGAAAAAAAGTTACTTGTTAGCATCAAACACAGACGGTTAAAATAATCTGTAAAATGGGTACATGTGATTGATGAGACTGGTACAGATGATGTGAAATTAGAGATGATGTTAAATTACAGGGAAAGACAAAATATAAGTGGAGAGGAAGCTAGAGAGTATGGTGATACCCTGCAGAGACATCTCCGTGCCAAAGCAGAGCTAGTATCGGTAGAGAAGACAGCCTTCGGAATGTTATTCCAATGCTCCTTTGGTCGCTCCTTTCGGGGGTCTTCTTCATTTTATGGCGATCCCGCCGGGTTTCTTCACTTAGGCCGCTATGGTGCTGGCGTGTGAACGGTGAACGACAGGTGATGGGAGTGTTGCTCGGAGGGGTAAAGGGGATGACAGACGGGGATGATAGTAGCCAAAGAAAAGCCATGAGTGTGGGAGAGAAGGACAATGAATAGGGGGCAGCATGAGGGCAACGGGGATCAATGATATTCGACGGGCTGGGCCGGGGCATACTTGTGCCAAGAACGGAATATCAACCAGGTCCATGGAGTTATTTTTCAAGCGTTGATGTCATAAATCAATAAAGAAGGATTTATTGAGATGAGTTGAAGAAATTAGTAGACTAACCCTAAATGAGCAGCCTAATTGACTCCCAGAATGGATCTTTGAGCCAAAAAAAGATTGATTAAAGTAACATTGAGTGTTCTACTTCAAGATTTGAAACGAATTAGATCAACACAATAAAAAAATCACCGAAGTTAAGGCACTCCACTATAAATAAATCTATTGGATGCAAATCAAATGAGTGCTCTCTATAATCTCACCACCAGCCATAGAAACAAGTGGACCTATCTAGGGAAACACACAACATCCATTTTGCAAGATAATTTACTGAATGGACAAAAGTAGTTAATCTAGAGAGAAAAAAGGTTTAGAAATAACCTTGTTACCGAAATGAACAACTCTGTGGTGGAGGAGCACTCATTGAAGCTGGACCCCAATTATTGATGCTTATCCGAATGTTTCCGTTGACCAAGTCATTGACTGTTGACCATACTAATCTATGGTTAGTCATTCAGTTGGGGACTGGCTCGGACTAAAGAGACGGGCTGGTGTGGACCAGGTTCATGGAGCTGGCTTGGCCTAGGCAGAAGTGGGCTGATTGAGCTGGGCCGATCTGGAGTCCGAAGTTGTAGGGAATTGACCGAAACCGGTGGGATATGGAGGAGAGATCGCCCGAAATAGGAGGCAGCTGAAACGGTGGACGGGCAAAATGGTATGGTCGGCAGCCAGTGAAGTGGTGAGGATGGAGGATCTAGTGGTAGAACACTGGCGAGGATGTAGTGGAGCATGTACCCAAGCCCCACCACCGAACATCACGACGTTAGTGGACTCCACATCATCTCCTCCAGCAACCATGCCAACTGTCGAAGTCACCCTACGTCGCCGCCGCCAGACCCAAGTGAAGGATCCGAATTTCTATTATTACTAGGTTTTATTCTGTTTAAATTCTCTTATTCATTTATGTTACGTTGTAATCCTCTCTCTCTCCTCCTGAGGCTTATAAATAGGCCTAGGATCCCTATGAAACGGTTTGGCTAATCTTTGGTTAAGAATTATCAAACACAAAGACTGTGCCCTAAGGGATCCATGTGACCGCTGCCGCCTGTAGCTGCCGCCGTCGTGCGGGTCCCACACAACCTCGTGGTCAACTCTTTCCCTCTCTCGTCGGTGGCCGGACGCCCCCTCTGCAAGCCTTCGCTTGCCCGACAACGTGGTGACAATCGTCCATCGGAGCACTGGCAGCATGTTGCGTACGTACCTCCCACAGACGTTCACACGCCAAGTCCCTCTTGTTGCGAACCAGAGCGTCCCGCACACCTAGCGAACGTGCCACGGCACCCCGCCCTACGAGCTGGTCTCCAGCCCTCGACGTCCACCGCGTGCACCCTGCGCGCCCCTCTTCCGACCATCAATGAAATTTAGTTTCGGGGCGCTGCCCCGAACCCTGCAATGGGGCGGCTTTCCCCCTTGACCCCCCGCCAACTAACCCCGTAGTTGGATCCACGACAGTCTCATCCTCTTCTGCTCTGCCATCGACGTCAACATTGTGCCATGCAAACGCCGAAGGTTCCCTCTCAACCCTCTCTGGTGGTCGTGTGTTTTGATTTCATCCCGTCTTTCCTCATACGTGTTTCCACCGCTGTCGGATTTAGCCGTGTAGGCTCGAGACCAGCCGAGTGGGCTGCGATTTCTTTGTTTGGAGGCCGACTAAGATTTTGAAACGTGGAGTTTAGGATCCGAGGAATGGAACGGTCTTCTCACCTCATCATAGTCAGTTTTTAAAGATTCGGATCCGATCGTGTGCGAGTTTTGTGGCTTGTTATTTGTCCATTGTGTTCCTTATCCATTTCATCTGCATCAGTCATATTCATCCTGCATCAAATTTAGTATCAGAGCCTAACCTGTGTCCCCACCACCCCTTCCATTAGCTAGTTGCACTCATTCATCATCTCATTCATATACATCTTAGGTCTGGTAAATGCATCATCATGGATGATTATCCCGACGATTCTCGTGAGGATCCCCTCCCTACTCAGAGTCCACCACCACCACCACCATCACATAGTGAGATGAGTCATGTCTTAGATGCCATCCGTGATATGAGTACTCATGTCACTAACATGGATACTCACCGTCTCAAACCATAAGTCAAAGGAACCTCCGTCATTCACTCCCTCCCATCCAAGTCCTAGGTCAAACCTCTTGTACTCTCCTACGCTTGATGAACCACCCTCTACTCTATTTTCTCTCGATCCTACCCCTCTTGCTACCCACTTCTCCGATTGCGCTCATCATCATGTTGACCCTACGATCATTATAATAGTGCTAACGGTCATGATAGACGTCCACCTGCTCCCTATGATCCTTAAGACTGGCATAATGGTCATGATCGTACTTGATAAGTTTTCATTATCATGAGTTAATAATTAGTAAATAATATAGTTTTAGTCTTAACTCATGATAAATAGACTTATATTTGTGTTAAAATGTGAAAAGTGATTTTCAGTTGATTAACGTGAATTTTTAGATAATTATGTGATTTTATATGAATTTATATGATTTTTATAATCTTACTTTTGAGATAAATAAAGAAAAAGAAATAAAAATAAAAAGGCTAGTAGAGACCACTCTGCAAGCAAGTCAGAAGCACAGTCGGGGAGGAGCTGCGAGTAGAGGCTCGAGCGGCTAGGACCGATAGAGGCACGTGTGTGCCACTCCTCTTCCACGTCACCGATGGTCAGCCGGCTGTGGGGTAAGAAGTGGTCGTACATGCGCGAGAAAGTAAATGTAATATTAGTATATATTCACCCAAAACTTCCGCACACAAGTAATGTGAGACTAAACCCACATCACACCTTCCCTAGAAAAGGTTCGATGAAAGATTACTTATTTATAATAGAGATATACCATGATGACGTTATTAGATAAGGGCATTAGAGTACTTATATCAATCTCTCTCATGTAGGCGAGCAATCGGCATGGGTTCAAATCTTCTTAGAGCCATAACTCATATTTTTTATTTGATTATCTCGACTTTTCTATAGATCGCCGATGAAAGATTAAGCAATTAAAATCACTGGATCATCGGCAAAAAACTTGTCAATTAGATTTACCGAGTATTGTTACTAAAATTGTTGAACAATTTTCGATAAAAGAATCGCGAATCCATCGAGTAAAGCATCTCCGATTGATCGACGAACAAGCCATCATCAAGAAGAGGATGATTTGCCAGGAGACGAGTCGCCACCTCTTGAGAGCATATCAGATGTGATGAAAAGCCTCCTCTTGTTGTGCGGATCTGAGGATGAAGCTCTTTGACATGTGCCCCACCTTCATTCTACTCCTTTTTGTCGAGTGATAGTCACAAGAGAGTCGCAAAGTTGCCATTTTTTTACTCTGTCGGGTGACAGCCGCTGAAGACGATTTGACAACCCATTTCATTGATCTCTAGACTTCGCAAGGAGATCTAGAGATTGCCCACGTTGTCCTTATCCAAGGAAAGCTTTCAAGGCTGTGGACACTACACGACGATCCTCCCAAATGCTCAGAATTCTGGTTCATCACTGACGCATCATCGTCGTGACGCCGGAACTCTGTTTTCTTGCTTTCAACTTACTTTACACTTCATTTAGTGATAATTTGTGTGATTTAAATTTACCAAGATATACTTCATTCCATTATGATTCTTCCACCTTTTACAAATTTTAATTTGATCAATTAAATCGTTTGTAATTACTTACGTAAAAATCGTCAGGCAGAACTCTATTTTCACCTGATTTGTGTTCGCTAGGTGCTAATGTCATCATGATGTCCGCACCCTTATTTCTATCTTTCGTGAATTTTAAATATATTTTATTTTTATTTTCTAGTATAAAATTAATAGAAAATAGTATCATTTGAGAAAAATTCTGAATAATTACCTGATATTATATTACATCCTTGTGATCGACTTGGAAAATTAATGCTATTTTTGAAAGTTTTATTGAATTATAGTTGATATATTTGTTCAGAAATACTTCTAAATTTCTAAATTTTTTTATTTTCTAGTTTTATAAATTTTAAATTTGCGTGATTTATTATACAATGACTAAGTTACGTCAATGCCCAATCTTGATAACTATTGGAATCATATCCAGAAAAGTATTTGAATCAATGCTCCATATTATGAGGGTTCTAGAGATCATAAGGACTATCTTGATTGGGAATCCAAACTAAATAATTATTTCAAATGGTATGACCTACCTGAGTTTAGGAAGGTTAGACTTGTAGAGATGAAATTAGGAGGACAAATGAAGATCTTTTAGGAAAATGTTGAATTTTCTATTTAGAATTGATGTGAGAATCCTATAGAAACTTGGGCCTAAATGAAGGATCAATGGCATTTTTTAAAGCAAGAAAGTAGTCCAATGATTGAGTATATCACACAATTTGAGGAATTTTATATGTGATGTAAAATTGAAGAGAATCCGCATGTCATCATTTCTCGATTTAGAACTGGCCTTAATCCCTACCTTAAAATTGAGTTATTAGTCAGGAAAGCTACCACTCTTGTACATGCATACTAGATCGTAGAAGTCCTTGAATTATGCCAAAAAATTTCTACTACCCCCTCCACTCTTATCGGTCGCCCTATCTAAGGTGGTCACTCTTACTCCTCCTACCCTAGCCACCCGATGAGCTCCCAACTGAGTGTAGGTAAGTCTAATTCTATTCTCACTCCATGCTTAGATACTCGTGCTGCTGCTTCTGCTCCACAGCTGCCCTTACTTCCTCTACTCTATCACTGTCTCTTGATTCTATTGCTCGAGCACCTACTCAGGCCACACTCCCTCCAACTGATTCATTGAGAGTGACTTGCTTCAAGTGCCACGGATGTGGGCACTGAGCTAACCAATGCCCATCTAGAGCGCTACACATAGGACATGATGATTTTCAACTTGAGCCTTATATTGCTGATCTGACTATTGAGGAGGACGATTAATGGTATCATCTGAATCTTTGATTCTTCTCCTCTCTCCCATAGTGCTCCCTCTCCTGTTCTTGTAATCATAGTCCGATGTACCCTTACCCAGCCAGCTATTGATGATAATATTTTGAGGACATCTATTTTCTATACTTATATTAACATTAGTGAAAAAATGTGTAAGACGATTGTGGACAGTGGTAGTTGCATTAATGTTGTGTTGAACACATCGATTTCACATCTTAAATTACCTTTGATTGATCATCCTTGACACTATCATGTCTCTTAGACTGATTTGATTTCCATCTCAGTTAAAAATTAGTGTCTCCTTTCTCTTAAGGTACAATCTTATGATGAAAAAGTTCTATGTGATGTATTACCTTTGAAAGTAAGCAACATAACCCTAGGTCGTCCTTGGCTTTATAATAATGATGTTCAGCAATTTGGTTGATTGAACACTTGCTCCATCTTGTATAAGGGTAAGAAGATTACTTGGCACTCGTATAGCTTGCATCCTAAAACCCCTCAGCCTAGTCACCCATCACCGACCTTAAACCTTCTTACTGGGAGTCAATGCTAGCAAGAGTTAGAACGCAAACCCACCATGTATTTAGCCATGATCCCAGATCAGTTTGACAATGCTCCCACCTCTCCTTCTCTTGAGGTTGCTAACTTACTGTTTGAGTTCCCAACTGTCTTTTCTGATGAGTTGTTGAACGAGCTCCCTCCCATGTGTGATATCTAGTGTGCCATTGACCTCATGTCTAGATCATCTCTTCCTAACTTTCCCCATTATCATTTGGATCCTACTCAGCATAAAGAACTCCAACGCCAAGTACAAGAATTATTAGATAAAGGATTCATTTAGGCGAGCCTTAGCCCTTGTGCCATTCCTGCCTTCTTGACCCCAAAGAAAGATGGCACTTGGCGTATGTGCATTGACAGTAAAGCTATCAATAAGATTATTGTAAAATATCGATTTCCTATCTCTCTAGTTGATGATACATTTGATACGATGGCTAGATCTATGATCTTTTCTGAGATTAATCTCCGAAGTGATTACCATCAAAGGGTTAGTCTCATAATATAAATAAAATAAGTAAAATAATATAAATTAAGAATTAAATGATAAAATATTATGAATGTCAAAATGAGTCGATAACACATCTATAATTACATTCTCTACCAATTAATATATATAAGATATTAATGTATAGATACAATTGCTAATTTATAATTATAAAATATCATCAAGGAACAAAAAATGAATCAAAAAAATTGATTGACAATGTGATAAAAATTTAGATTAAAAGACTTAATCTGGTCTTTTCATCACCTAGATGAGAGAATAAGTAAAAATAAAAATAAATAGAGTCCAAATAGAAATTAAATTCTAAAACACAACATGTCACTTTGTTGCTCTATCATGTGAATGTAGAATATCATAAATTGAATTATAAATCTATTAAAATAACAGAAAAAGAATGAAAAGGATTAATCTCATTCCTATTTATCACCCAAACAAAGGATTCAACAAAAAGGAGAATAAATTTCAATCAAAATAGAAATTGAAATGCAACATTGCTTTGCTTGTCTGTAGATGTCACTTAGAGAGAACTCAATGACCTAAGATTGAAACTTCCCTTAGCACTGTCAGACTCCACACCAAGCTCTGGGTTTCTCCCCTTCTCCCCTTGTCTCTCATGACTTATCCCCTTCTTTATCAGGATAAGTTACCTAGATAATGGGCTTGGCATTGAGCCCAACAGTACCAATCCCTAAAAGTTCCACTTCAGACAATGAGGTTAGAACCCATTAGAAGATCAAGAAGAAATTTCTCAAGAATGGCGTAGATTTATGCATAAATTTATAAGTATATTAAAAAAATTAATATTTTGATTTAGTGACATTTATTATCATTTTATCTTGAGTAACATAAAAAAAGAATTCACTAAAAATAATTATGATTAGTAGAAAGTTGTATCAGGGTTTTTAAATGAGATACGAATTCCTAACTTTCTTTTTTAATTTTAGATACATGTTGGCATTACAATGCATCATTGAGGTTATGCTCAGGTCATCACTTATTATTCTTCAAGGACTTTAACACTTTGTAGTTGGATGATCACATTGGTTATCAGGTTGTTGGAGAAGCCAAGATCATTATTTGAAGATAACTTCAAAGTGAAAATTCTATGTGAGCTGAACTAAGTTATCATGGTTGTAATCAAACACTTGAGTTTAGTGGAACCCAAGATTAAGCATTATTATTGGATAGTGAATGTAGGCTGGAGGCCAAATCACAATAAAAATTCTTTAATTTTATATCTATTCATATATAAGAATTAGAGGACTGACTAGGAGGAGACTAATTATTTCTGTCAAGAGTCAAGTAGAATCTAAGATTAATAAGTGGAGCCTTATACTCAGCACTGCCTTCATCAAATCCTCCATGGGTCAATGTAAGCAATTTATCCAGCCGATATTGTTGGTTCCAGATTGCTGTATTATTGTTGATCTTTTTTTTCTTTTCTAGTTTTGATAAAGTTTTTATTCTTCTTCTCACATCTTCCCTTGTTTTATTGCACATGAATGTCGTTTCCAATTGCTTTATTCCCTTTGCCGTTTGGCTTTCTACCACCTAATTGTAATATTGTTGAACCTCTAATTTCCATAGATCTATGCCAATGCTTGAGTCAAATCCTGGATACTCCTCAGTTGCTAGAAACCTTGATAACTTATTTTATCTCTCATGTAATTTTCGAAATTCGATCTTGCTTACTTCCACCTCCTTTTTTAGGGTTTTGAATCTTGCTTTGTTGCTCTTGATGGCCATCATGATCGTTGGCTTTGATACAGTGGATAGGAATCCATCAGTGAGAGAGAAACGAGAAACAGATCTAGCTGAGCTTTAGGAAGCAAAATAAAGAAGGAAATCGGATCCCAGATGGCATCAGAGAATTTGTAGTAAATATTTGAGAGGGTTACCACTCTCCCATGCTCTTGAGAACAGCCTTCTCCCATTTGCCTCCTCTCTTATTGATATAACCCCCACTCTTTTCTGGAGTCTGCTACAGATTCTTATTTTTGAAAAGTCAATGGTTCAATATGAGTACTAGATTCTGATATTTCACAACTATGAACTATTAGTGGTACCACTCATGCTGTTAACAAGGGTAGATCAACAACATAAGCACTTGCTCTAATAGATTTTAGATAATAGATGGATTTGGATTGTAGGTTTTGAGTTTCTTCGCACCACATGCAAGAAACTCATCGAGTTGTAGGTTAATCATCACATTCTCATTGAATGCCTTCAATGAGAGTAGCTGCGCAGTTCTGTCTGTCTGTCAGTCTGTCTTCATCTCTCTCTCTCTCTCTCGCTCAATCCCTCTCTCTTCCCATTCTCCCTCATTTAAGTCATGAGACCGCAAGAGCAGATCCAGCATTGTTTGCCTTCGATCAGTCAGTCAAGCTTTATTTTGGAGCTATCAGGGTTCTAACGTGCGTGCCCACCAGGCAATAACCTTTTCCCTCTCAAGTCATCTTGTCCGGACTTCCATCCGTATGGAGTGGGCTTATTGCCTCATGGTTTCCCCTTGAACCAGGGGAGTTTTCAGCATTGTCCCTATCTCAAGATTGGCCGAGTCATCTTCCCTCCAAAGGTTCCTTGAGGTTCCACATTCGACCTACATTGTCTTCTTCTCATGGACCAGTTGTGAAGCTGACGAGGTAACCTTTCCATAACCTAAGGGGAAAACCGGGTTAGACCTAAGATTAGGTATGCTCAGGCGGCCTCATCTAGTCTCACAATATTTTCCTGGAGTCCATACAAATCCGTATTTTAGAATTTCCCCGTCCTTCTTCATCCATCAAAAATATAAATACTACTCACAAAGATTAAAAAACGGGTTTTTCTTTACGAACGTCCCTGGAAAGTACAACTAATGACGAGTTTCTTCTTCGGTTTCGACCTTTTCCTTGGTAAAAGAAACTGCGGGGTTTTCTTTCTCACCGTCCCTGGGAAATACTACTAATGACGAGTTTCTTCTCTGGATTTGAGCTTTCGTGCTTACGAAATGGTCAAGCCCTGGAGAAAAGTTTTGTGGTTCGATGCTCCGGGATGTTGTCCCAAGGTTCCAACGCAACCGGCAATGCAACTCCGCCTCCGGTTTGACTTTTTTT